GTGGAAGACCAATAGGCCTAGTGGCTTGACACATGGAAATTATGGAGGCCTGAAATACTCATAGACTGCGTAAACAATCTCTGGCTAAAAATCTCTTGCATGGAGAGTTGCAGTAGTTTCCCAACTGCAGTTCCTATTCCCACTCGTCTCCTCACCCCCAGCCTCCACCCACTACCTCTTCTCCACACCTCAGCAACCGTAGTGTTCCTTTAAGTAAGAACCAGATGCTCCCCTGCTCAGACCTTCCCCATAGCTTTCCTGTCTCATCAGAATCCTATAAATGTTTATTAAGACTCACAGGCAAGGCCTCTTGCACCTCTACTCCGGCCACACTGGCTTCCTTGCTGCTCCTGGTGCAAAGCCAAGCATCCTCCCGCCTCTAAGCCTTTGCATTGCCTGTTTCTTCTTCCTGGAAAGCTTTTCCTCCAGACACCTGCATGGGGAAAGCCCTCCCTTATCCTGGACTGCTTCCCATGCCAGCTTATCAGAGCAGCCTTCCCCAAACAGCTTGCATATACAAGAAACCCCACTCTGCCCTCACTGCTCCCCCTTCCACTACCTCGGTTTTCAACATAGTGCTGATCACCCTCTGACATTTTCTTGTGGGTTGTTCCTCCACTGGTAATCTCACAATTACCTATAGCAGGGTTCACTGGTATAGCCCCGCACCTAGTACATAATAGGTGCTCATTAAATATTTGTTAAATGAATGGTAATTTGTAAACTCCCTTTTGAATTCCAAAATAATGAGGCTTCCTATTGCCCATGTTTCATTCTTTCCTACCTTCCCTCCCTTCCTCTTTTCTTTCTTTTCTCTTTCTCTTCATTTTCTTTCTTTTCTCCTTCCCTCTCTCTTCCTCTCTCTCTTTCTCCCTTTCCCTTTCCTTCCTTCCCTTTCTTTCCTCTACCCTTCCCCTTCTCCCTCTCCCCTCCCCTCCCCTTCCCTTGCCTCCCATCCTCTCCCCTTCCCTCCCCTCTCTTTTCAAGATGGAATCTCACTCTGTCACCCAGGCTCCAGTACAATGGGGTGATCTTGGCTCACTGCAACCTCTGCCTCCTGGGTTCAAGAAATTCTCCTGCCTCAGCCTCCTGAGCAGCTGGGATTACAGGCACACACTACCATGCCAAGCTAATTTTTATATTTTTAGTAGAGAACAGGGTTTCACCACATGGGCTAGATCACATGGGTAGATCACCATGAGGCGATCTACCTGCCTCGGCCTCCCAAATTGCTGGGATTACAGGCATGAACCACTGCCCCTGGCCCCATGTTTTCCTTAGTACTAAAAATGCTTTGCCAGATAGAAGCTAAAAGACAGGCTCTCTGCTGTCACTTAGGAATTTAGAATGTTGGGCAAATAATGCTGTTGTTTTTCAGTTTGCTTATTTGAACCTGGAGATCCCAAATACTTGACTATTTATTTATTTATTTATTTAAGACAGAGTCTCACTCTGTTACCTAGGCTGGAGTGCAGTGGTGTGATCTCAGCTCACTGCAACCTCCATCACCCAGGTTCAAGTGATTCTCCTGCCTCAGCCACCCAAGTAGCTGGGATTACAGGCATGCACTACCATACCTGGCTAATTTTTGTATTTTTAGTAGAGATGGGGTTTCACCATGTTGGCCAGGCTGGTCTCAGACTCCGAATCTCTGGTGATCTGCCTGCCTTGGCCTCCCAAAGTGCTGGGATTACAGGCATGAGCCACCGTGCCCAGCCGTTTATTCATTTATTATTCAGATACTAGTTGAAGGCATGATCTATGTGAATCAATGTGCTGGCCCTAGATGGAGACTGTAATCTGCTAGAAGCGAGTGAAGAAATAGCCAAAGTAATTTCTGGGCATTAGTAAGATGGACAAATATTATTTTTTAGTGATTATGATAGAGATTTCTTCCAGATGAGTAAATAAGATGTAGAATCTGCTCCCCAAAGAGCTTACTAATTACTTTAAAAAGCAGTCAGGGCTGTGATGAGGGTTGGGTAAGGTGGAATGACAGGTCCATGGAGGGCTACTAGCTGAGTCTCCAGGATCGAAGGAGGATGTGTTGATCTTGATAGATGAGTGGAGATTGCTGGGTCCAGAGAGAATGTAGATATTACAGTATAAATGTAGAGAAAAACAGGTGATACATTCTGGAGAGGGTATCTGGAGAGATTTTGGTCCTCATTCATTCATTGTGGAGCCTGGTCCTTTACTTCTAGTAATTCATGCTCTATTTTGGAAAATAGTTAAACAAGCAGTTTTAATAAAGAGCATGCGCATTATGAAAGAGCCTGTGAAGGAGTGTCTGGGATTTTGAGCTGAAATCTGTAGGAAGTAGAAATTGACTGGGCCAAGACAGCAGAAGGAGTGGAGTCAAGAGCATTTTAGGAGGGAGCAGGTTGGACAGAGGCAGCTGGGAGTTCAGGAGAGAGTCCATGGTAGGCATACTTTTGAGAACCATCATTGTGTCAGTGGAATTTAAAGCCACAAACCGGGAGATGACCACCAGGGGAGTGAGTCTAAGTAGAAAAGAACAAGTCTAAGGTCTGGGCCCATGATGCTACAATATCTAGAAAAGAGGAAGTTAGCAATGTAGGAAAGGTTGAAAAAAATAGAAGGATGATGAAGAAGAACCAGGAGAGGAGACAGAAAAGGAGTAGCTTGTAAGAACAGAGGAAAACCAGGGCTGGGCATGGTGGCCCATGGTTGTAATTCCAGCACTTTGGGAGGCCAAGGCAGGTGGATCACCTGAGGTCAGGAGTTTGAGACCAGCCTGGCCAATATGAGGAAACCCCATCTCTACTAAAAATATAAAAAATTAGCCAGGTGTGGTGGCAGGTGCCTATAATCCCAGCTACTCGAAATGCCGAGCCAGAAGAATTGCTTGAACCCAGGAGGTGGAGGTTGCAGTGAGCTGAGATGGCGCCATTGCACTCCAGCCTGGGCAACAAGAGTGAAACTCTGTCTCAAAAAAAAAAAAAAAAAAAAAAAAAACAAGGAGAGTGGGTATCTTAAAAGTCCAAGCTAAGAAACAAGAGGAGGGAGAAAAGGTTGAGCAACCAAATCAAATGCCCGTTGTAGGTGAAGTAGAGAAGGACTGAGAACTCACTACTGGATTTAGTGATGGGGAAGCCATTGGTAATCACGACAGAAACAATTTCAGTGGCTTGCGGATGATTGAACTGATGTTTTAAAAAGATCATGATGTGGCTATATTAAAAAAGAAAACAGATAATAACAAGTGATGGTGAGGATGTGGAGAAATTAGAACCCTTGTACATTGCTGGTGGAAATGTAGCGTGGGTGTAGCCACTGTGGAAACAATTTGGTGGTTCCTCACAAAGTTAAACAGAATTATTGTGAAAAATTAGTGCACATTGAGGTGGTTTTAAAATCTTTGTCATCTGACAATCAAGCTTAAAATGTATCTTAGAGTAACAGAATTTTGGAAATAAAGACCTTTAAAGGCCTCATAGTTTGATACCACAGATTATACCGCATGTTTATTATGAATTATTTCTCCTCCTTCAATTTCAGTTTGCTCATATAGCCACTTGCGGTCACAGTGGCATTCACCTCCACACTTGGTGGGACCACAGGCAGGACAAGCATAGAAACATCCTAAGCAATCTTCATCGAGGCAGTCATAGAGGTCCATCCCACTCAAAGTCAGGAGACCCTGGCTATCACGACCTTACTCTTCACTGGTATCACTTGTCTGTCTCAGCCAGTGGTTGCATTTTTTGTAAGCCTTCTTTTTTCTCTTTTACCAGTTTCTGGAGCAAATTCAGTTTGTCTTCCTGGATTTGTAAGTTGTAATGACCTCCAAGCTTTAGCAGTTCTTCCATCTGATTCAGATTTCCTTCTCTGGCAGTCTTCGGAATCAGCATCCACACTTCTGTTGATTATCTGTGTGCATTTTGGACAAATCTCCCAACCAGGTACAAGCTGCCTTCCAAATTTTACACTAAGTCAATTACATGAAAAAAAATTTTTTGGCTACTTTTTTGTGTGTGTTAAATGGGTTACAACACAACTTCTGTAAATCCTCAAATCTGTCAATGTAAATATTTTTCTTTTTTTTGTATTTTATTTATTCTTAAAATTTTACGTAATGAAAGCAAATTGTATTATTCCCAGAAAGATTCTTTTCAGTTCTAAGTTGAAGTAAAAGCATATCGTTTTATAACAATTCTTGCAAAGTCTTAATACCTGTGTGACAAGTATTAGTAGGTTTTATGGGACTCATTTCTAGGATGAAGTTGGACTCCATCTGAACACGGATTCATCTTTCTTAATTTTAGCAAATTTTTCCTGTTTTATTTTGTCTACAGGTCTAGGTCATGGGCTGATCACCCTTAGCTTGGGCTCTTCTCCACCTGGCTTTGGGCAGGATACCTATCCTCACAGGCCACACTCACCTGCAGCTTCCCAGCCTGTCCCCGCGCTGCCATTCTACTTCACTTATTATGTATACTCTAAACCTTTTTCTTCCCAACATAAAACATTGTACACTCCTGCAGCCTTTTTACTTTCTTAAGCAGGTAGACAAACATGGCAGTTGACACTTAGTGGAAGCATAGAGCAGAGTTAAAGAGAAGGGCCCCCTTCTTTCACTAACCAGTTGAGTTTTTTTCTTTCCTTTATTTTTTAAGACAATTTTGAAATTGAGGCAGGGTTTTGCCCTGTTGCCCAGTCTGGTCTCATACTCCTGAGCTCAGGTGATCCACCTGCCTCAACCTCCCAAAGGGCTGGGATACAGGCGTGAGCCACCACACCTGGCCACGTTGAGTTTTTAAAGTAGAAAGTTTTGGAGAAATGAACTTTATTGTGTAGTCAATGAGAAAGAAAGAACGATTTTGAAAGAAAATCTGTTCATTTATGTGGGATTGAGACGAGTCCTGTAAAGGAGAGTCTTGCCAACCCCTCTGTCTCCTAAACTGCACTGAGAAACTCAGATTAAATATGTTCTGTAACTATCACTCATTCAAATGTCTCTTTTGTTGTAGGATACTAGAAGATATGGCTGGTGATCTTTCACCAGGTTTCTTCATGGAGGAACTTAATAAATACCGTCAGAAGCAGGGAGTAGTACTTAGATATAAAGAACTGCCTAATTCAGGACCTCCACATGATAGAAGGTAAGTTGCTATCAAAAATGATATGGCCTGGCTGGGTGCGGCGGCCCAAGCCTGTAATCCCAGCACTTTGGGAGGCTGAGGCGGGTGGATCACAAGGTCAAGAGATCGAGACCATCCTGGTCAACATGGTGAAACCCCGTCTCTACTAAAAATACAAAAAATTAGCTGGGCACGGTGGCGCGTGCCTGTAATCCCAGCTACTCAGGAGGCTGAGGCAGGAGAATTGCCTGAACCCAGGAGGCGGAGGTTGCAGTGAGCCGAGATCGCACCATTGCACTCCAGCCTGGGTAACAAGAGCGAACCTCCGTCTCAAGAAAAAAAAAAAAAAGATATGGCCTGCCAGATGTGGTGGCTCACTCCTGTAATCCCAGCACATTGGGAGGACAAGGTGGATGGATCACGAGGTCAGGAGATCAAGACTATCTGGGCCAACATGGTGAAACCCCATCTCTACTAAAAATACAAATAAATTAGCTGGGCATGGCGGCACATGCCTGTAGTTAACAGCTACTTGGGAGACTGAGGCAGGAGAATTGCTTGAACCCAGGAGGTGGAGATTGCAGTGAGCCGAGATCGAGATACTGCACTACAGTCTGGGTGGCAGTGCAAGACTCTGTCTCAAAACAAAAAAATGATATGGCCTTGTAAATGTAAACTCGGGAAATGGCAACTCTGGTACAACTTTGAGGTCAACACTTTAGTTTTGTGAGTCTTCTTGGCATAAACTGGTAACTACTTTGGAGCCACAGATGATTCCAGAAAGAAAAGAGGGTAGAAACCTTTCCATGCTTCAACAAGATGTACTGTTTTGCTGTTAGGGGTGACTGCTTACATTCTATATTGAATGTAGGTTCAAACCCTCAAAGGTAGTCGTAGGAGGTAGTAATGACTAGAGCACTTGTTTTTAGATAGTGCATGAGTTGTATAATATTTTGTAAATATTCTCTTTGTAATCAGGTTTGCATTTCAAGTTATAATAGATGGGAGAGAATTTCCAGAAGCTGAAGGTAGATCAAAAAAGGAAGCAAAAAATGCCGCAGCCAAAGTAGCTGTTGAGATACTTAATAAGGAAAACAAGGTGAGTGATTGCCTTTTTTCCTAGTAAAAGGGAACTTACAAATACTTTTTCTGTTTCTCTCTGTGAGAAAATACCTTCATACAGAGTAAAGCCATTCAAACGTTCCCTTACATTCAAGACTTTGGTTCAGTCATTTCGCCCATCTTCGTTTCTGTGAAACCCTGAGTGAGAGCCACACCTAGGACACAGTGGGCAAAGCTGGATAATAGTTATTTAAAATGTCAGCAACAGTTAAACACTCTAAAGTTGAACAAATATGGAAAGGTAAGAAGTGTTCAGTGGGAAATGAGGTGACAGGTTCTGGGAGGAGTCCCCTCCAGCTAACTGAGGAAGTATAGTAAAAAAGAAAAAAGAGATGAAAGTGATTATAGGGAAAATGATGTACAACAATCCATCACTGTCCACGGGGATTGGTACCAGGACTCCCTGTGGATGCCAAAATCCACTGATGCTCAATTCCCTTGTATAAAATGGCATAGTATTTGCATATAACCTATTCATATCTTCCCATATGCAGTTATGCATTGCTTCTCAAGGAGAATACATTGTCAGAAATGCATCCTTAGGCAATTTCCTCATTGGACAAACATCATAGAGGTACTTACACAATCCTAGATGGTATAACTCCTACACACCTAGGCTATGTAGAATGGCCTCTTGCTCCTGGACTACAAACCTGTACAGCATGTTACTATACTGAATACTATAGCCAATCATAACACAATGTTTAGTATTCATGTATCTAAACATATCCAAACACAGAAAAAGTACAGTAAAAATACAGTATAAAAGACAAACCAAAGTCCTGGCATGGTGGCTCTTGCCTGTAATCCCAGCACTTCGGGAAGCTGAGGCAGGTGGATCACTTGAGGTCAGGAGTTCAAGATCAGCGTGGCCAACATGGCGAAACCCTAAAAATACAAAAATTTAGCTGGGCGTGGTGTTAGGCACCTGTAATCCCAGCTACTTGGGAGGCTGAGGAAGGAGAATTGCTTCAACCTGGAGATGGAGGTTGTAGTGAGCCGAGATTATACCATTGCACTCCAGCCTGGAGACCCTGCCTCAAAAAAAAAAAGACAAACAAAAGTACACCCATATAGGACACATCCCATGCATGAATGGAGCTGCAGGCCTGGAAGTTGCTCTGTAACTCTTTTACTTTATAAACTTCTTATTTTTAACATTTTGATTCTTTCCTGATAACACTTAGCTTAAAACACAAACGCATAGTATGGCTATACAAAAATATTTTCTTTCTTTACATCTTTATTCTATAAGCTTTTTTCTATTTTTAAAATTTTAAACTTTTTTTTTTACTTTTAAACTTTGTTGCAAAAACTTAGAACATGGTTGGGCACAGTGGTTCATGCCTGGGATGTCAAGGAGCCATGATTATGCCACTACACTCCAGCCTGGGTGACAGAGCGAGACCCTGTCTCAAAAAAAAAAAAAAAAAAGGCTGGGCATGAGCATGGTGGTTCATGCCTATAATCCCTGCACTTTGGGAGGTCAAGATAGTTATCCAGGGCAACATGGCGAAACCCTGTCTGTACTAAAAATAGAAAACATTAGCTGGGCTTGGTGGCATGTGTCTGTAGTCCCAGCTACTCAGGAGGCTGAGGCAGGAGGATCATGTGCCTGAGAGGCTGGGGCTGCAGTGAGCTGTGATCTTGCGACTGCATTCCAGCCTGTGCAACAGAGCAAGACCCTGTCTCAAAAAAAGAAAGAAAGAAAGAAAGAAAAAATTACAACAGAAACATACATATCAGCCCTAGGCCTACACAGTGTTAGGATCATGAACATCACCATCTTTCACCTCCACATTTTGTCCCTCTGGAAAGTCTTCAGGAGCAATAACATACATGAAGCTGTCTCCTATTGTAACAATACCTTCTCTTGGATTACCTTCTGAAGGACCTGCCCGAGGCTGTTTTATTTTTTTTATTTTTATTTTTTGAGACAGAGTCTCCCTCTGTTGCCAGGTGCCAGGCTGGAATGCAGTGGCACGATCTTGGCTCACTGAAACCTCTGCCTACGGGGTTCAAGCAATTCCCCTGCCTCAGCCTCCTGAGTAGCTGGGACTACAGGCGTGCGCCACCATGCCCAGCTAATTTTTGTATTTTTAGTAGAGATGGGCTTTCACCATGTTGGCTAGGATGGTCTCGATCTCTTGACATCGTGATCCGCCTGCCTCGGCCTCCCAAAGTGCTGTGATTAGAGGCATGAGTCACTACGCCCAGCCGAGGCTGTTTTACAGTTACTTTCTTTTTTTTTAAGTAGAAGAAGTACATTCTAAAATAATGATAAAACGTATAGTATAAATACATAAGCCAGTAACATAGTTGCTTATCATTATCCAGTATTCTGTACTGTAAGTAATTGTATGTGCTAGACTTTTTTTTTAGATAGAGAATGCAGTGGCGGGGTCTCAGCTCACTTCAATGTCCGCCTCCTAGGTTCAAGCGATTCTCCTGCCTTAGCCTCTCAAGTAGCTGGGATTACAGGGACCTGCCACAATATCCTGCTAATTTTTTGTCTTTTTAGTAGAGATGGCGTTTCAACCATGTTGGCCAGGCTGGCCTCAATCTCCTGACCTTGTGATCCACTCATCTCAGCCTCTCAAAGCACTGGGATTACAGGCGTGAGCCACTGCACCCAGCCCTGTGCTAGACTTTTTTATAAGACTGTAGCACAGATTTGCGTACAGCAGTGTCCCCACAAACATGTGAGTAATGCATTGTGCTATAACCCAGGAGTTTTTGTATTTTTTTGTAGAGCTGGGGTCTCACTATGTTTCCCAGGCTGGTCTTGAACTCCTAGGCTCAAGTGATCGGCCCCCTTCAGCCCCACAAAGTGCTAGGATTACAGGCGTGAGCCACCACACCCAGCTATAAGTAGTTGTTCTGCTGTGTTGTTTAGGGAATGATGACAAGAAAAAAATCTGTATATATTTAGTACAGATGCAAACTTCATTTTTTTATCCAAATATTTTTGATCCATGATTGGTTGAATCCAGGGATTTGGAACCCATGGATATAGAAAGCCAAGTGTTTACAAAGAGCAAATAATAAAGAACCAATATACATGTGACTAGTATCCCTGAAGATGAGAACAGAGTAAATAGTACAGAAGAAAATGACCTGAAGAGATTTCAGCAGAAAATGCTTATGAAATAAAGAAAGACTTGACTGCACATTAAAGCAATGTAATAGATACAAGAAAATTCAGAACCACCCAGACCAACATTGCTTCTTATAAAAGTGCTAAGCTCCAGAGATGAAGAAAGAATTCTATAAGCATCTAAAGAGGAGAAGAAAAATATGTAAAATGTAAATATTTGTAAAGTTTCATGCTGTGCACAGCAATATGATAAACCAGGAGATAGTACAGCAATGGTTATAAAATGAGACATTAAGTCATTTCCATTTTAGACAACAGAGGACCGTTCTCAGATTTTGAAAATTTGGGGAAAATTTAGGTTTCAAGATTCTTGAAAATCTTAAAGATGGTATCTTTAAGATATCATCCTTCTAATTAAATTTTTATTTATATTTTTTGAGACAGAGTTTTGCTGTTGTCGCCCAGAATGGAGTGCAGTGGTGTGATCTCGACTCACTGCAACCTCTGCCTCCCCGGTTCAAGCAATTCTCCTGCCTCAGCCTCCTGAGTAGCTGAGATTACAGACACCTGCCACCATGCCTGGATAATTTTTGTATATTTAGTAGAGACGGGTTTCATCATGTTGGCCAGCCTAGTCTTGAATTTTGACCTCAGTTGATCCACCTGCCTCAGCCTACCAAATTGCAGGGATTACAGGCATGAGCCACTGTGCCCTGCCCCCAAATTTTTTTTTTAAATCAAGCAAAATTACAAATTGTAATTATTAATGAGCTAGAAAACTGAGTCAAGAAGTTAGAAAAAAAGTAGAATGTCTTACCACCAAAAAGCAGAAGAAACAAAATAACAATGGTTGAAATTACTGTAAAAGAAACAAAAAAAGAAAAGAAAGAAAATCAATAAAACCAAAAATTAGTTTTGTGACAAGATTAATAAAAGATCAAAACTCAGCTGAGTGTGGTGGCTCATGCCTATAAAATCCTAGCATTTTAGAAGGCTGAGGCAGGCAGATAGCTTGAGCTTAGGAGTTTGAGACCAGCCTGGGTAACATGGCCAAACCCCATCTCTATAAAAAATACAAAAAAATTACCTGGGCATGGTGGCACATGCGGGTAGTTCCAAGTACTTGTGGGGCTAAGACAGGAAAATTGTTTCAACCTGGGAGGTCGAGGCTGCAGTGACCTGAGGTCTGCACTCTAGCCTGGATGAGAAAGTGACACCCTGTCTCAAAAAAAAAAAAAAAAAATAGCAGCTGGGCATGGTGACTCATGCCTGTAATCCCAGCACTTTGGGAGGCCGAGGCGGGTGGATCATTGAGTTCAGGAGTTCAAGACCAGCCTGATCAACATGGTGAAACCCCATCTTCAATAAAACAATAAAAATTATTCGGATGTAGTGGCACATGCCTGTAATCTCAGCTACTTGGGAGGCAGAGGCAGAGAATTGCTTGAACCTGGCCTGGGAGTCGGAGGTTGCAGTGAGCCAAGATTGCACCAGCAACAAGAGCAAAACTCTATCTTAAAAAAAAGCAAACTTTGGACAAGATTTTTGTTGGACTAAGAAAAAAAATGGTAGAGGTAACAATAGTAGAAATGATACGATTATATTCATCTTTTTCATTAACTTGTGATCCTGTATACAGCTTTGCTATAATATCTCTTGCCTTGTTTTTTGAGATTAGATGGGATATAATAAGTTAGAAAGTGTTATAGTACTTTTCAAGAACAAACAAGAACATTGACTATTTTGTTTTTCCTTATGAAACAATAAAAGAAAAATGGGTGACTTCTTTCCTATTGTTAAAATGTATCTTTGTAGATTTTTTTTTCTGATAGAGGGAGATAGATGGTCACACTTTTACTCAAGGTAATATAATAGGAAAATATATAACATACAGTTGTCTTTCAAATTGCTCATTTAGTAATTTTATTAGAAGAATAAAATGTAGAACATTAAATCTTTGATGTCATTTATATTAAACAAGATTTTTTTTTCTTTTGTAGGCAGTTAGTCCTTTATCATTGACACCAACCGATTCTTCAGAAAGATCATCCATGGGGAATTACATAGGCCTTATCAATAGAATTGCCCAGAAGGAAAGACTGACTGTAAATTATGAACAATGTGCATCGGGGGTGAATGGGCCAGAAGGGTGAGACATAGTTTGGCTTTTCTTTCTGTTTCATTGTATCTAAGCAATAAAGTAGGTTTATTTTCATGTCTAATTTTCCAGAAATATGTGTCCTTTTAAACATTCTGTATGGAAGGTTTTATATGGTTGATAAGCAATTGGATTTGTTATTTGTAGTTAAAATGCTTAATTGCTAAAACCATGGGATCCATTTACCATAATTGATCAAATTAGGGTAATCCTTTATTTCAGAGATGTAGCTGGATGGTTTAGTCTGTGGAACGCCCAAGAGAGTACAGGGTGCCACTGCTCGAAGAATGCAGAGATCTGGCCAAACAAGGTGGCTCATGCCTGTAATCCCAGCACTTTGGGAGGCTGAGGCGAGTGGATCATGAGGTCAAGAGATTGAGACCATCCTGGCCAACATGGTGAAATCCCGTCTCTACTAAAACTATAAAAATTAGCTGAGCGTGATGGCACATGCCTGTAGTCCCAGCTACTTATAAGGCTAAGGCAGGAGAATCATTTGAACCCAGAAGATGGAGGTTACAGTGAGCCAAGATCACGCCACTGCACTCTATCTTGGCAATAGAATGAGACTCCATCTCAAAATAAATAAATAAATAAGGAATGCAGAGATCTTTTCATCATTGAGGTCATGATGGTGGTAACTGTCTGAAAACCTCTCTGCCACTTGTATAGAATGATTCTTCATCCTTGTCAGATCAGGGAGCTCTTTGTCCAGGTATTTGTCCTTCAAATTTGATTAAATGAGGCTGGGCGTGGTGGCTCACGCCTATAATCCCAGCACTTTGGGAGGCCAAGATGGGTGGATCACAAGGTCAAGAGATCGAGACAATCCTGGTCAACATGGTGAAACCCCGTCTCTACTAAAAATACAAAATTTAGCTGGGCATGGTGGCGCATGCCTGTAGTCCCAGCTACTCAGGAGGCTGAGGCAGGAGAATTGCTGACCAGGAGACTGAGGTTGTGGTGAGCCAAGATCGCACCATTGCACTCCAGCCTGGGTAACAAGAGCGAAACTCAGTCTCAAAAAAAAAAATTTTTTTTTTTTATTAAATGAATGAAGACCTTGTATCAGAAGGAATGAGTTTTAGCCCTAGGCTGTGAGGAGACTAGGATTTGAGGGATCTGATGAGACAGATGAACTCATTTCAAAGTTACTGAGAACATCACCAGTGAGCTAAGATGTGTGGAAGTGAGGATAAAGAATGAATTGGAACTGAAAAAAGCAGAAATCAAATGAGTATGAGGTGATTTTCAACTATAACCAACCAGTTAATGAGAAAGAAGAAAAAAAAATCCATGGCAAATAGTTCAAATCATCATTTTAGGATACTATTCTATGTATTGACTCAGCTATTTATTGTCATGGTGTTTGGGCCAAAACCAGGAGGAGAAAAATGTGATAGTTTTCATTGGAATAAAATAGTCAAAAGTGAATCTGTGGGTCAATCTCAATAATTAAGAGACTGTTTTATTTTCTGTAGCTCACCTTTCTGGTTCCTTTGAATTACGTTCTCTAACATTAGATATCTAAAAGAGAGAAGAAATATATTTCGTGTGGTACCTGAAAAATACAGAAGTTATAGAAATGATCCAGTCACTCATCCCAGCTATTTAATTGAGGATCTAGCAGGGAAGACTCACCCTGTTTGAATGTGTTTCTCTCGATGGCCTCCAGCGGAAACACAAAGGAAAAAGAGTTCAAATACCGGAATAATTTTGCAGTAATATATAGTAACTCCATGATGTAAATTGCCATGTCCATTGTTTTATCCCTGAAAAATAGTTCTTATGTAATTGTCCAAGTGTCCTTGCCTAGCCACAAATGTTGTTGCCTCTAATAGGAGGAGAGTGTGGACTTTAGTATCGGGCATCTGCAAGGTGGGGATTTTCTCTTTTCTTTTTTGAGATGAAGTCTTGCTCTGTCACCCAGGCTGGAGTGCAGTGGTGCAATCTTGGCTCACTGCAACCTCCACCTCCCAGGTTCAAGCGATTCTCCTGCCTCAGCCTCCTGAGTAGCTGGGAATAAAGGCTCACGCCACCACGCCCAGCCAGTTTTTTATATATTTAGTAGAGATGGGGTTTCATAATATTGGCCAGGCTAGTCTTGAACTCCTGACCTCGTGATTCACCCACCTTGGCCTCCCAAAGTGCTGGGATTACAGGCGTGAGCCACTGCGCCTGGCCCACTGTGGGGATTTTCTCAATTTTTGTGCACATAAGCAGATGGCAGACAGTGTTGAAGTTAGAGCAGAATCCATGCTTTGCTCTTTCCCTACAAAGCCGCAGCACTGTAACCTCATAGCTTCTCCTGTGGAAGCCTCATTTTCTCTACTGGTTTTTTCTTTCCCATTTGAGCACCTCTGAAAAAAAGATCCTCTACTGGATCTCTTTTATTTCTACCTCCATACCTTTTGACCTTTGGGGAATTAAAGAAAAAAATCACTACTTAGTGCCTTTGTGCCAGATCTTTAAGCAAAAAAAAAAAACAAAAGATTAGAAATTGCCTGGAAAATGCAAGCTCAGATATCAGCTGATCCTGGTTATTCAGAGACATTGGTCAGGCATGTTACTGAAGGTTTAAATTATGCAAGATATGAAATATAAATCTATCTAATAAATTAGTGTTATCTTAAGATCTCTGTTACTATGGACTTTTTAGTCATACGTTGGATTTACTATATTTTTCATGTTTGTATAAGTACCTTCCATGATTTCTCCTAGATTTCATTATAAATGCAAAGTGGGGCAGAAAGAATATGGTATTGGTACAGGTTCTACTAAACAGGAAGCAAAACAATTGGCTGCTAAACTTGCATATCTTCAGATACATAAATCAGAAGAAACCTCAGTGGTACGTACTGCCTTTGGATTAAAATTTTGTGTTTAAAATTCCGTCTGAAGTTGACTTGAGGTTAGACTGTGTTTACATTATGCCAAGACATCCAGTGATTTAGCAAAATGATTCCTCCATTCTGTGTCACACCAATGAACCATGTGCCATGGGGCCATGAGGCCTCAGAGGGATAAAAATTCTGTGGGTAACTCAGGGTGGTTTTTAAAATCCAGACCAGGCCAGGCGCGGTGGCTCACACCTGTAATCTTAGCACTTTGGAAGGCCAAGGCTGGTGGATCTCCTGAGCTCAGGAGTTTGAGACCAAAACCATGTCTCTACAAAAAAAAAAAAAAAAAAAAAAATTAGACAGGTGTGGTGCGATGCACCTGTAGTTTCAGCTGAGACTACTGTCCTCGGGAAGCTAAGATGGGAGGATCGCCTGAGCCTGGGAGGTGGAGGTTGCAGTGAACCAACATGGTGCCACTGTACTTCAACCTGAATGACAGAGCCAAATCCTGTCTCAAAAACAAACAAACAAACAAAAATTATCTGCCCTGTGATCCAGAAAAGTAAAATAAAAAATAAAATAAAATCCAGACTAAACATCCGTTAAAAATGTTATTAATATTGTAATTGTTTATGGTTGTGAATTTGCTAATGTGTCAAAGTAACTGTGATAGTATACAGACACTGAGCCTCTGTAGAGAAATAATTAGTTGCATTTAAGCCTACTAATGGGCACTCTTTCTTTCAGAAAGCTGACTCCACATCCTCTGTTTCTTTTACTCCTGTGCGTGACATCCAAAACAACCCTTTAGTGACCAGCACATTGTAAGTGTAGACAAACAATTAAGATATTTAATTGCCATCTGAAAGAAATTTTTATAAAAATATTTAATGTTTAAGGAGAATTTAGAGAAAGAATCAGTGATAAAAAATGGTAAACTAATAGTTATATCCTTTTCTTCTAGGGCTTCTGAATCATCACCTGAAAGTAGTTTCTCAGCAGATACATCAGAGATAAATTTTAACAATAGTTTAAACAATTGTTCTTCATTGTCTATGGTATTGTATTAGTCTTGAAGCTTCCTACTTAATCTTATTTTTCTGTGTGTTTCCTTATTTAAAAATAACTTCCAGTATTCCATCATAATTTTTATATTTTTATCTTATGCACTCTTATTAAATGATAATATTCAGCAGCCCTTTGACTCTTTAAAATTAAGTTCCATTCCTCATTCATTCACATGTTGCCTGTTTTTCCTCACTCACCCTTATATTTTAATATATTCCTATGATCTTGCTTTTTTCTCCCACCAATGGGATAATATTTAAAGATTTACTAATATAGTTTTGTTTGTTTTTAAAAATTAGAATTAAACAACATTAAAAGTAAACTCGAAATCAGATAATTTTTTAGCCTGGTGCAGTGGTACATGCCTGTAGTCTGCAGCCACTTGTGAGGCCAAGGTGGGAGGATTGCTTTAGCCCAGGAGTTCAGGACCAGCCTAGGCAACATAGTGAGACTCCATCTCAAAAAAAAAAAAAAAAATCAGATAATTTTTTTGTGCACATAATGAGGCAATGCTGAAGTTAGAGCAAAATCTATGCTTTTGATGATTAGTGTTACGAGAGGATTCTGTTATAAAGAACTACAAATCAGTAAGAAAAAGGCAAGCAACTCAGTAGAAAAATATACAAAGCTTATAAACAGATAGTTCAGAGAAGAGATACCCAATGGGCAACAAATATTAAAAGATACTTTACTAGGAATCAGGAAAATGTAAATCAAGACAAGTAGATACTATTTTAAACTCGTTAGATTGGCAAAAAATTAAGTCTTACAATGCTAAGTGTTTGTACAGAGGTTGAAGAGAATATAGACATGGATGGACTAAGGAATTAGTCACAGAGCCATCTAGAAATACAGGAGAAAGGAAGATGATCGATTTAGTTATCTGAAACTATTTCTCACTTTCTTTTGTTATAGAATGGTCTCAGAAATAATCAGAGGAAGGTAAAAAGGTGAGTATCATTATGCATTGAACATATTTTGAAGTGAAGTTTTATTTCAGACTTACTTATTGTTTTTAATACTTGTAGAGTAATGTATACCCTTATTTGAGTGGAGTTTCAGAAGCAGACAGCTTGAAATCTATAAACAAATAATTTTAGTTGTGTCAAGAAATATTTGAATGTATGTGCATACTACACCATAGACATAAAGCCCTATGGGGGTGTTGCTAGAGTAATTAGGTTAAGGGCATCATTTATATGAGGCTGGCAAGAAATTGGGCTGTTTTCACTGTAGAAGTGTTTTCAAGAGAAGTGTATTATTTTGCAGACAAATAAGTTTAAAATAACATAAAAACTTGGATTAAAAAAGATCAAATGCGGGCCAGGCGCAGTGGCTCAAGCCTGTAATCCCAGCACTTTGGGAGGCTGAGGCGGGTGGATCATGAGGTCAAGAGATCGAGACCATCCTGGTCAACATGGTGAAACCCCATCTCTACTAATAATACAAAAAATTAGCTGGGCATGGTGGCGCGTGCCTGTAATCCCAGCTACTCGGGAGGCTGAGGCAGGAGAATTGCCTGAACCCAGGAGGCGGAGGTGGCAGTGAGCCGAGATCGCGCCATTGCATTCCAGCCTGGGTAACAAGAGCAAAACTCTGTCTCAAAAAAAAAAAAAAAAAAAGGTCAAATGCTATGTCAGTTAACTGAAGAGAAAGGCAAATATGTAAATAGTCAGAAATGAGGGTAAGAAGGCAGTAGGAGCCCTTATGAGCCACTAGTATATTCTGAGCAGTAGATAAATGTGTTGAAGAATGATGATTCTTGATGTAGATGCTTGGATGGAGAGGAGAGTGGACATGACCTGAGGAAACAGATTCCCATAGCTGAGTCAAAGCATGAAGAAGAGGTAAAGGAGAAAGGATTTGAAGATTGCTTCACTTTGAACAGGGTGCAGTCAAGAACCATGGCACTAATGGTGTTAAGGAAGTTGAGGAGTTGAGGGCTTACAGAGAAGACAGCATTTTGGATATGTTTAGTTTTAGGTGGTACTTAAATTTCCAATTGCAGGTGGCTTACCATCAGTGAGGAATAACAGCTAGGATGAGAGTGTAAGGAGATTTGCTTCCTGACGTTTTGAGTCTGGAGGAGGAAAAGGAGAGGTTAGTGACACATCAACAATGAATGCTTTAAGGTGGAAAAAGGAGCCAGGAGAGGGATGAAACAGTATTAGAGACCAGAGGAAAACTGTAAGTATGTAGTTTTATTTTAAAAAAAAGTTGGCTGGGTACAGTGACTTGCATCTGTATTCCTCAGCACTTTGGGAGGCCAAGGTGGGAGGATGGCTTTGGTTCAGGAGTTTAAGACCAGACTGGATAATATAGAAAGACCCCTTCTCTACGAAAAATAAAAAGAATGAGCTAAGTATGGTGGCACATGCCTGTAGTCCCAGCTACCTGGCAGGCTGAGGTGGGAGGATCTCCTCTGAGCCCAGGATTTCAAAGTTGTGAGCTATGATCATATCACTGCACTCTAGGCTGAGAGATGGAGTAAGACCTTGCCTTAGAAGAAAAAAAAACAAGAAAGAAAGAAAAGAAAAAGGTTAACATTAACACTAAACAAGTTCTATTTGATTTCAATTTTATTTGAGTTTTATATTCAACTCTTAATTTTTAGACATTTGGCACCTACATTTGACCCTCCTGACATGAAAGGAATGAAGTATACTGTGGATATCAGGTAAGATTTTAAGAGCTGAAGAAAGAAGGAACTATGAAAGTGGCTCAACAGACAAAGACAGGTTTATTTTGGAGAATAAACCTGAGAGGGGCTTCTGGCCGATTTCAGTCAGGAGCATTATCTCTTACAAACTAAGGGTATTTAAGGGTTAGGGAGTGAGAGCTTATCGCAGATTCGGAATGTTTCTGGGTGGAGGAGAGTTTTATGGTGGGAGTAGAATGTCTCTGGTTGGAGGGGAGGTTATCCTGGGCTGGCATGTTTCTGGTTGGAGGGGAGGTTATTTCAGATTTGTGTGTCTCTAGCCAGAGGGGGTTTATCTCAAAATTGGAATGTTTCTGATTAGAGGAGTCATTTGTGGTTTATGGTCATGCTGACATTTGCCTTTAGGCTGTTGTTTGAGCTGAATTTAGGCAATTTTTAATCAAGGGGAACTTAAAATGGTGGTGCTAGTCCAAGATGGCAGTGCTCCTGTTAGGTCAATCCAGATCCTATAGTTATAAAATGATGAGGGGCAGCATGTTTTTTCCTGGCTACTTCCTGCAGAGCAGGGGAGGTGGAGAGTTCTTTGGTCTCAGATCGACTGTAGGAGTAATGCCTTCTGTAGATGCTTTTGGATAGTTTTCTGTGAAATGGCCATGATCCTGTTGGTTAAAAATCTTTGAATCAGGTTAATTAGGCAGGTTAAGAACATTAGTCCTAGGCATATCATTAGGAGAGGGCCCAGGAATGGGATGACCCACGTGATGATTTTGTTCCCAAACCAAGAATCTATTTGGATGTTTTGCTAATTGTGGGAAGAAGGTTGCCCAGGTGCCATGGCAAGAGACTGAAGGCACAATCTGTCCCAGCATAATAAACGATTACTTAGTTATAGCAATGACACCAAATAGACTGAGATACAATCACATAATTAATTATATAAATCAATCTTATTACATTATTATTCTCTATTATTAACCTTTGCTTTAGTATTATAGTGTAGGAACATTTTTAGCCTTATAATAGAGAAATAATCAGGTGAAATATAATTCGGAACTGAAGGGACATTTTGAGAAGTGATCAGAGGCAAGAGAAAATGCCTTGCAGTAGCGCCAGTGCCTGGGGAGGTGCCGCTTACTTAGCAGGCAGGCCTTGCAGTAACGCCAGTGCCTGGGGACACAGGCCATGAGGGGGAGTTTCCCTTTCACTGGGGAGTTGAGAGAACACTCTGCTCTGTCCGGCTCTTGAGGAAGGTCTGATGCTAATCAGGCCGGCCCACGGATATCCAGGGGCTTGAACACCTCTCCGTGGTTCTGTGCTCCGATGGTCACCATCCTTGTCCACTTTCATGTTCCACTTTCCCACCCAATGCTCCCTTATAAATTCTTAGAAGTTGTGACAAGTAAGACTAGAGGAATTCTAAAAGACTTTGATCTAAGTGCATAGAAAAATACTGATGTATTTGCCTCCCCTCCTTGCAGTGGCTACATGAGAGGGAGGGGTTCCCTGTACTGTACCCACATGGCCCTCCGTACTGTACCCATGTGGCCCCCCGTATTGAAAGTATGTGATTTGCTTCACCCCTACCAATCATGTCAAATGAGTCACTCTCCTGGCCCTGTCCCCCTACCGTGTATCTGATAAATATCAGCGTGTCCAGGCATTCAGGGCCATTGCTGGACCTTGTGCCTTGGTAGCAGTGGTCCCCCAAGTCCACCTGAATTCTTCTCTTATCTCTGTGTCCTTGTGTCTTTCCTCCTGCAATCTGTCATCTCCACACACAAAAGAACACCCACGAGACCCTGCGGGGCTGGACCCTGCAGCTATCCCTTTAGCTTTTTAGTTCTTTCTTTAAGTTTTTCAGCATTGTCTCTTACTAGGCCAGATTGGTTGAGATAGAAGCAACATTCCTCACCCAGTGAGAGGCAGAGGTCCTCTTTTTCAGACATTCTAAGATCTAGTCCCCATCTATTTTGGAGGACTACTGCAGCCAAGGAGTCTAGTTTGTCTTGGACTCTTGTAAGGCTTCAGGCTATATCTTCTAAAGAACCCTGTAGCTCTGTGGAAAGAGCTTTACGGTATGTTAAGGTATGTTAAGGAGGTGGCCAATCTGCCTGCTCCCAGTCCAAGTCTGGAAGTTATAGCCAAGGCAGCCATTAAAGGAATGACATGGATGGCCCTCCTCTTCCTAACATACTGGTTGGATGGGACGGGCATGGTTGGCTAGGAGAAACTAGTCCCATGGAGGAAGAAAGATAAACTAGGGTATAGGTTCTGGTCCAGTTGGTGGGGAGACAAAGATATGTCGTTGGTACCACACGCAAAAAATAAGCCTTTGTCGTAAATACAGGTGAGGATACGGAAAGAAAACAAGTGAATTAAAGAAGGGATGTTTCTTCTTTCCTGTGATTACTCCAGGTGGACGAGGAGGAGGACAGGGAATCACCCGCTGTAGTAGAGATATAGGCGGAGTTACTTTTTTACACATTTAATGTGATCAGATATTGCACCACTGTTATTGAGCCATGGATAAAGGTGGGCACTAGGGACAGCACAAATAAGGCCGGAGGCATTGGTTGAGGGAGAGGCTGTAAAAGGAGTAGGTTGCAGAAATGGTCCATTCACTTCATGTGATACTTGGTAGTCAACTTGGTTAGTTTGATGGTCAGATGAGTGTTTAACAACGATAGTGCTGTTATATTAGTCAGGTGTTAAGGACCTTACAGGGAAATTTCCCTCAGAGTCTGAAAAGCAAAGTGAAGCTTGTTGTAAAAGGGGAGTGTGTTTAGTTATGGGCCCTTCAATGGGTGGGCCTTGGGGCTTAAGGCATTGTAGGGAATTGTAATAGGTTTGAAATAATTTGTTGGCCTGGTTGGCCAGGGAAGTGGGATAATCTCTGACCGGAGTGTCAGCTCTTTCATAAAAGAAAGCTCGTTTTTGGAGTTTATAGATTGGGGATATGTTTCCTGTTAAAAGGTCATGACAGAGTAGAGGAAGGGCTGTGTAAGCTGAGGAAGACAGCAATAAACACATCCAGCATTCTGGAGCAAAGCAAGAGAGCTGGCAGCAAGAGGGGTTGCGTAAGGTTTCTAGAACGTTCTAGTTTGAGAGCAGTGAGGAGTGGTTGTATTGGTGAGGCTGATGTCATTAGGGAATTTATATTGAAAGGAACAAGCAAAAGGAGAAAAAAGTTATTTGGGTAGAAGTAAAGTCCTGGAAAGTTTTTGAAGCCATAAATCTTAAGGAATAATAGGAACTGATCAGGATGTATGATGGGAGTTTCATAGGGGTACCACTGAAGGTCTGTAACAAGGTTAGTTAGGAAGCAATGAAAGTCTGGGAGACAAAGAGACATAGCTGCTTAGGTGAATTTCTCTTCCTTTTCCTCTGGCATTTGGGTGAGATGAAGGGAAGTGGGTCCTATGGAGATGAAGGCTGAAGGGGGTTTAGATTTGGTTGTCTGAGTGCGCAGTGAAGGGAAGTCTGTTTTCTTGAGAGAAGTATAATGAAACCAGCTGGGGAGTCCCTGGAGCTTTGCTGCCGTGGGTGTAGGAAGGATGATCTGGTAAGGCCCCTTCCATTTCGGTGTGAGGGTGGAATTGGAGGGATGGCTGGGATCTTTCACCAGAACCCAGTCTCCTGGCTGTAGGAAGGGATTAGAGAGGTCGGCGACAGGTTGTGGCAGGTAATTGTCAGCATATTCCCAAATGAAATGGCAGATGGCAGGCAGAAGAGGGGAAATGAGAGGGGTTGTTAGAAGTGGGCCTTGACCCTGAGGTGGAACCAAAGGAGACATGTCCCACACAGGAGTTCAAAGGGGCTGAGCATTAGCGGTTTATGTGGGAGTCCCCGAATTTTCAGAAGGGCTAAAGGTAAAAGTGAAACCCAGTCTTTATGTGTCTGGAGTGAGTACCTGGTGAGGGTGTTTGTTAACATGCTATTCATTTTTTCAATCTTTCCTGAAGATTGAGGTCAATAGGGGATTTATAGCTTCCAGGTGATTCGTAGGGCTTGTGCAAGTGTTTGAGTAATTTGAGAAATGAATTCAGAACCATTATCAGATTGAAAAGAAAGAGGCACCTGAACCTGGGGATGATTTCTGTCATAAATTTGGAGGTGATAGTAGAAGCTCATTTGTTGGTTGTGGGAAAAGCCTTGACCCATCCTGAAAAGGTGTCAACCAGAACCAAAAGAAATCAAAACTTTTTTACTTGGGGGATATGGGTAAAATCAATTTACCAGTCTTGTCCTGGAAGATGTCCCCTGGCTGGATGGGTTGGAAAAGAAGGGGGTCTAGTGTTGGAGTGGGGGTGAAGCTTTCTGGCAAATAGAGCATTGATGGGAAGTGGCTTTCAACTGTTTCATTATATCTCGGGTTATGCATGTGTGGGAACTTAAGAAATGTTGTAGAAGGGAATGGCTAGCATGGAAGAGGTTGTGGATGTCCCATAAAAGAGTTGTTTTTTCAGGGTCAGGCAGGACTGATTTGTTTTGTATGAACCCGTATGGGAGTTTGAATTGTGACCCTGCTATTAGTTTTGTTTTTTTTTTTCTGAGATGGAGTCTCACTTTGTCGCCCAGGCTGGAGTGCAATGGCATGATCCTGACTCACTGCAACCTTCACCTCCCAGGTTCAAGCGATTCTCCTGTCTCAGTCTCCCAAGTAGATGGGATTACAGGCACACACCACCATGCTGGCTAATTTTTTTATTTTTATTTTTAGTAGAGACAGGGTTTCACCATGTTGTTGTATTTGGTGTTCAGGATAAAAGGAGGTGATATGTTGTGTGAGGGGAAATAGATATTGGAGAATTGGATGATTGGTTGGAGGCATGTTTTGCCCAATAGTCAGGCTCACGATTCCCTAAAGAAATGTGTCTTTTATCTGATTGGTATCCTTTGCAATAGAAAGCTGCAACTTTTTCTGGAAGAAGAGCTGCCTTTAGTAAATGATGGATTCGTTTTCCATTAATGATAGGAGTTCCCTTAGCTGTGAGATAGTCTCACTTGCTCCAAATTTGGGCAGTGGAATGGTTGATATTATAGGCATATTTAGAATTAGTGTATATATTAACTTGTGTGTTTTTTGCTAGGGTTGATGCTCTAATTAGGGCAACTAATTCTGCTTGTTGGGAGGATGTGCCCAAAGGCAAGGGGGTAGGCTTTATAATTCTTCTAGGTGGAAGAGAGTAGGTATCCTCATGATATCCCTCAGTGCTTGGAGGAAAGGGTTTTTTGATGCACTATAAACTAATCTAGGGCTCCCTTTATGTGAATAGAAGTAAGGTGGTGAAACATGGTGAGAGAACTTTCAGTTGGATCAGAGCATGAGTGTTGGTCGTGGTCCAAAATCAGTGTTGAAGATAAAAGAGTAGCAGGATTGGGGCAGCATCTATGAAGAGAGAGAGGGTTGAAGGAGGTTTGAATGTAGGACTTGCATGCTAGGGAAGGAGATGGAAGTGAGTGCCTTATGGCTGAGCATATCTTATAGACTGTGAGAAGAAAATACCTGAAGAAGTTCATAGAATGTGAGTCTGTGCCTCAGGGATAATTAAAGAGGCTGTGGACAAATTTTTTAAGGAAAGGGGCCAGCTTTTGTAAATGGGGTCAAGTTCTTTTGAAAAATATGCCACTGGTTGGAGGGAATCTCCTGTAGGTTGAGCTAATGGTCCAAGGGCCTGATTATGAGAACTGTGTAAATGTAGATGTAAAGATCTTAGTGGGTTTGGAGGGCCTAAGGGGGGCCTGTAATAAGGAACGTTTTAGGTGAGAGAAACCTTGATAAAGGTCTGGGGTGGGAGTGAGTGGTTGGTCAAGATTTCCTTTTGTGTGATCATAAAGAGGTTTAGCGATAGTGGCAAAATTTGCCATCTGTAATGGGAAATATCCCACTAATCCAAAGAGAAAGAAAGTCCCTTTTTGTGTTAGGAAATGGGATTTGTTGAATGCCTTGCTTTCATGTCAGTGGAATTTCTCAAGTATTTGGAGTTAGGATTGATCCTAGGTATGAAACATTTGGAGAGGTTAATTGGGTCTTCCTTCTGGATCCCAAGTACCCACATTCAGCCAAAAAATTTAAAAGCCTGGTGGTGTGTTGAATACAATCTTCTAGAGAGGGGCTGCAAATAGTAAATCGTCCACATGTTGAAGCAAAACGCCGTGTTGTAGAGGGAGTTGGGAGAGGTCCAGTTGAAGTGCCTGACTGAAATAGTAAGGCCTGTCCCTAAACCCCGGGGGAAGACAATCCAGGCGAGTTGTTGGGAGCAGCCTGTATCAGCATCAGTCCAAGTGAAAGCAAAAAGGTGTTGAGAGGAGGGATGTAGAGGGATAGTATGAAAGGCATCTTTGAGGTCTAATGCAGAGAAATAGCTAGTGTTGGGAGGAGTTTGCGACAGGAGGATATAGGGGTTTGAGACAACAGGACAAACAGGAACAATAGTGGAGTTGATTTGTCGCAAATCCTGAACCAGTCTATAGGGGCCATCTGGTTTTTTAATTGGGAGAATAGGAGTATTGTGGGGACGATGGGTGGGGATTAAAATATTGGCATCCAGGCCAGGTGCAGTGGCTCACACCTGTAATCCCAGCACTTTGGGAGGCCACGGCGGGTAGATCACCTGAGGTCAGGAGTTCTAGACCAGCCTGATTAACATGGTGAAACCTCATCTCTACTAAAAATACAAAAGTTAGCTGGGCATGATGGCACATGCCTGTAGTCCCAGCTAGTTGGGAGGCTGAGGCAGGAGAATTGCTTGAACCTGGGAGGTGGAGGTTGTAGTGAGCCGAGACTGCACCATTGAACTCCAGCCTGGGTGACAGGGGCAAGACTCTGTCTCAATAAAAAAATAAAATAAAATAATAAAATAAAATACTGGAAACCAACCATGTTGGCCAGGTTGGTCTTGAACTCTTAACCTCAGGGGATTCACCTGCCTTGGCTTCCCAAAGTGCTGGGATTATAGGCGTGAGCCACTGCGCCTGGCCTTATCATGGCTGTTGAAAAGCCAGCAGTTGACTGTGACTGCCAGGGGTGATCTGTTATGTTGGACTTGCCCTGGGAGGAGTGAGCCTCTGTGAATCAAGAGCTTCTGCCAAGTGGATCTTTCTTATTCAGAAGGAGAGAATCATGTTTGTTATACTGTCTATTTCACAAGTAACATTAAAGGGAAAGGAGTGGGGAAGTGGGGAAGGGATGAGCACGGAATGTCAAAATAACTGTTTTTTTTTTTCTTTAAGGCTTGCCCAGGATTTTAAAGAAATAAAATTAATTGGCTCAGGTGGATTTGGCCAAGTTTTCAAAGCAAAACACAGAATTGATGAAAAGACTTACGTTATTAAACGTGTTAAATATAATAGCGAGTAAGTAGTAAATGTTTACACTTTTTTGAATGGATAGATATGCTCAATCTGCACTATACCTTTTAATGCTTCTCTCTTCTTTATTAGGATATCATTTGTTTTTGTTTTTTTTCTGGTCCTTATTAAATACTTCATTCTACCAAGAGGAGTTTGGCTTACTCTAAGATGATCTCACTTTACTGTGGTTATTTCAGTAAAAATGGATGTAGAATTGGTCATCCTTTTGATGTTGCCTTCAGAACTGAAGCTGTAGAGTCATTTGGTTTAAGGTGGCACACATATTCATGAAACACTCCATATTTTTTAAACTGTGGCACCAAATGGAACCTGTCATTACTCACAAAAAAGGTGATCTTTGAGATGTTCTAGTTTTACCCCCTTATTTTACAGATAAGGAGACTAAGATCCAGAGATACGAAGTGATTTTTGTCTAAGGTAAAAGCTGGATGGTATTTGTTCTCTGGTTGTCTGTTATTGCATAAGGCACTGCTCCAAAATGCTGTGGCTTAAAAACAGCGATTTATTGCTATCTCTAGTGGTTCTGTGGGTTGATTATGCTCAGCTAAACAATTCTCACTTGGGGTCTCCCAGGCATTTGCAGTCAGTAGTGATCTGCAACCTTGATTAGGCTGGATATCCAAGCTGGCTAGCAGTTGGCACTGGCTCTGTGCTGGAAGTTCAGCTGGGACTGTCAACCGGAACACCTCCACATGGCCTCTTTATGGGGATTGGGCTTCTTACAACTTAGTGACTGGGTGTCAAGAAGGATTGTCCCCAGAACAAGTCATCCAAGGGACCAGGAGTGAGGGGCAAGGCTTCTTTTGACCTAGTCTGAGGAGTTCCAGAACGTCACTACCACCAAGTTATATTGGTTAAACAAGTCACTGAAGCCAGCTTAGATTCAGAGGGAGAGCAAATAGGCTCTACCTCTTAATTTAAGGAGTGGAAGCATGTATGGGATGATAAAGAACAGATCAAGATTTCAAGATTATCTTTGGACATGTTCTCCTCTGTAATAAGGTGGGGATTTAGAACTTATCCCCTGGAATGCCAATTCAATGTGTTCCCACTGTAACCCACTGCTTCCAACATTTGTTTTGTGTATTATCTACCCTCCCACTCCTGCTGGATAGCAGAACAGGAAGGAAAACCTCCACAGAAAGGCAGTCTTAAATCACATGGCCACCAGTTCACCAATCTTGCTTGTTGCACTCTGGCAATTGTTACTATGTGTAGCTTGGCCAGACTGATCCCTCAAAGACTAGCAAAGGAGATGGGAAAGGGATCTGGTTTAAGGAAAATGAGATGTGCAAAGGAAACATAGGTGTGGAGTGCTGGGTGTTCTTCATCCCGGTTAAACAAACCTACTTCTCTCATGCACAGTGCTTTGCATTTGAAATAGGGTCATTCCTACTCTCTTCATTGTTTTATTTAACAGGAATGAAGTTCTGCTGTGCTGTTATTCCTTCCATTAGATAGAAATTGTAACAAATGGTAATAATATCCCAGTTACTTGGGAGGCTGAAGCAGGGTAATTGCTTAAGGCCAGATGTTTGAGACCAGCCTAGGCCGCATAGTGAGACCCAGTGTCAAAAATAAAATAAAATGAATAAATGAGGGCCGGGCGCGGTGGCTCATGCCTGTAATCCCAGCACTTTGGGAGGCCAAGGCAGGCAGATTACTTGAGGTCAGGAGTTTGAGACCACCCTGGCCAACCACCCCATCTCTACAAAAATACAGAAAATAGCCAGGTGTGGTGGTGGGTGCCTGTAATCCCAGCTGCTTGGGAGGCTGAGGCAGGAGAATCACTTGAACCTGGGAGGTAGAGGTTGCAGTGAGCCGAGATCGTGCAATTGCACTCCAGGCTGGATGACAGAGACTCCATCTCAAAAAAAAAAAAAGTATAATAATGTTGATGATGGCCCAGTGTCTTGGTCATTTCTAGTACTTTATACATTGATGCAACATGTTTTAAAATATCTTTGGAAATATTAATCTGGAGCCATAAAATCTTTTATACACTTTGGCCCAAGGATTTCCTGTTTGGGAACCTGTTTTAAGAATATAATTTAGGGAGGCCAAAGTGGGTGGATCACTTGAGCTCAGGAGTTTGAGACCAGCCTGGGGCAACATGGAAAAACTCTATCTCTAGAAAAAATAGAAAAGTTAGGTGGGTGTGGTGGCCATGCTTATAGTCTCAGCTACCCGAGAAGCTGAGGTGGGAGGATCACCTGAGTCTGGTAGGTGGAGGCTATAGTGAGCCATGATCACACCATTGCACTACCCCCTGGGTGACAGTGAGACCCTATCTCCCAAAAATATATATTATTTAAATTATGGATTTATATCCAAGATGATATAAATCACAGTGTCGTTCATTAACAGTGAAAAATTAAAACAAACAAAATATCCAGCAGTGAAGAAATGAGTAAACATGTTTTGTTCTGTATGCTGATCAATGGCTATTTTGCAGCCATTAAAAATGACTGGCCGGACACGGTGGCTCATGCCTGTAATCCCAGCACTTTGGGAGGCTGAGGCTGTCAGATCACTTGAGATCAGAAGTGCGAGACCAACCTGGGCAACATGGCAAAAACCCTGTCTCTACAAAAATTACAAAAACTAGCTGGGTGTGGTGGTGTGTGCCTGTGGTCCTAGCTACTCGGAAGGCTAAGGTGGGAGGATAACTTGAGCCCTAGGGGCAGAGGTTGCAGTGAGCCAAGATTGTGACTGCACTCCAGCCTGGGTGACAGAGCGAGACCCTGTCTCAAAAAAAAAGAAGGAAAGGAAGAAAAGGAAGGAAGGAAAGAAGGAAGAGAGGGAAGGAGGGAGGGAGGGAGGAAGGGAGGGAGGGAGGAAGGAAAAATAATAGATTGTAGGAAGGAAGCTAAAATAATAACATTGTTTTAGGATTGTCAACATATGAGTAATTTTTTCTTTGTTTTTGCAAATTTTTTGTCATATAGTTTAGAACTTTTTGCATTAAAAAATAAAATTATAAAATGTTTGTTTATCCTTCCTCATCTTTGAGACCTCCAAATTATTTACTGCATTTAGCATGGAATTGTCTTAGGTCTTGGCAATACATCCCTATAATGCCTCCCACCATCTCACCTTCTCTGCATAAATTGTCCTTTTGGGTATTTTTGCCACACATTGAAAATCCTGAATTAGGTACTTTACACTGCCTGGGTTACCTAGCCTTGCCGCCAAATGTGGTTTGCTTGTGAAATCTAAAGATTTTAACAAAGTCTAAGTGAAACATAATGTATGATTTAGCTATGAAAAATTGCATCAGCTGGGTCCAGTGGCTCATGCTTACAGTTCCAACACTTTAGAAGGCTGAGGCAGGTCGGTCACTGGAGCCCAGGAGTTTGAGACCAGCATGGGCAACATGGCAAAATCCCATCTCTACAGAAAATATTTTAAAAGTAGACGGGTGTGGTGGTGTGTTCCTGTGGTCCCAGCTACTCAGGAGGCTGATGTGGGAAGACTGCCTGAGCCTGGGAGGTTGAGGCTGCAATGAGCCAAGATCGTGCCACTGCACTCATCTTGGGTGACAAAGTGAGACCCTGTCTCAATAAAATAAATGAATTAAAACTGCATCACTGGTTCTTTTTTTTTTTTTTTCCAAGATGGAATCTTGCTCTGTCACCTAGGCTGGAGTGCAGTGGTGTGATCTCGGCTCGCTGCAACCTCCACCTCACAGGTTCAAACAATTCTGCCTCAGCCTTCCGAGTAGCTGGGATTACAGGCACACATCACCATGCACGCCCGGCTATATTTTTGTATTCTTAGTAGAGACGAGGTTTCACCATGTTGGCCAGGCTGGTCTTGAACTCTTGACCTTATGATCTGCCTGCCTTGGTCTCCCAAAGTGCTGGGATTACAGGCATGAGCCAACGTACTCGGCCCCACCACTGGCATTTCAAGACTGCTACAGATGATTTTTAAATTGTCTAATGTTTGGCATTCTTGAAGTTGCTGCCTTTTATTTTATGTTGAGATAAAATAAAAGAGTGGGAGTGAGAGCACCTATGGTTTTTTTCAGTATGTTCACTTTTTCCTTTTGAATCTCCTGGCTTCCATTCTAAAATTGTGTGAGAACGGCAATTGTTTAATAAGGGAATGTCGATAGTTGTCTCCGATTATAGGAGGTGTTTTGTGGTTGTTACTAGGGATGTACACTGACACTTCCATGTTCCTTGTGCCTTTTAACTAGCAAGGCAGAGCGTGAAGTAAAAGCATTGGCAGAACTTGATCATGTAAATATTGTTCACTACAACGGCTGTTGGGATGGATTTGATTATGATCCTGAGAGCAGTGATTATGATCCTGAGAGCGGTGATTATGATCCTGAGAACAGCAAAAATAATTCAAGGTAACTAAAAAGAAATTCTCATAATCATAAGAAGATGGAAGGAAACTGTTATTTACTCTGTGTGGGCCACTGGATAAGGCCATTAATTACTGCAGTTAATAATCACAATTCCCTCTGAGAGACACTTATCTCTCCATTCCGAAGGTAAGGAGAAAATGAAAATCTCCTCCTTGTTCCTCTCCTTGCTGCAGACTTGCTCTCACAACCCTTTGTTATATCCTTAGCTGTCTTCAGAAATCTCAGGTTCAGCTTTCCTGACACCACTGTGTAATGGAGGGCCTTGTGTATATGCTGGTTTCAGTACAGGCTGTAAATGTCGTCTTGTGGAGAGAGTTTTAACATATAGATGCTGCATCTGGGGGCTCCCTCCTCAACTACCAACACTTTTCTATCCCTCTCTTAGGCTGTGATTGGTGTGGTGCAGTTCAAGGGTTTCTTTGAAATGTAACTATACCACTTAGGCTGGGGTGGTGGGCAGTGAAAATAATTTTAAGACCACAAGCTGAGATGGGGGCACCCTTATGTTTTATGTCAGGTAAGCCACTGCCAAACAACTGGAAATCCTAAAGAGCTGGCATCTGTCTTTGAAAGTCAACCCACCTATTTTGGGGATAGTCCTCTCACTAAAATCCTGAGGCCAATGGGGTCCTGTTCATTCATTTTCTCCTGCCCCCACCTCCGTCTCTACCTCATGTAACTGAGAACTTTATCATCAGTTTCAGGACATACAGAACTTAAGGTTTCAGCAAATTCTTGGCTACCTTTTCCTGTTTTCAAGCTGACTTATACCAAGAATATAAATTAATATTGAGGCTAACTTAATTCAGAAAAAAAGTAAATCAATCTACGAGATTTATATCTCGTAGTAATTTGTTGGCACTTCTCCTAGAGTACCTTTCCTATTGTTTCAGGTTTGCTTTTCCCTTACTCTCTCCTATTAGACTATTATCCCCATGATGGCAAGGATAGTGTCTAACTCATTTTCTTATCTCTAGGTACCTTTCATGCTCAGTAGTTGGATGATGAACTAAAAGGTTTCAAATTACTTTATATAATAATGAAATTTAGTTTCCTGCAACTCTATTATATTCATGTTCCTATTTCTATCTATTAGCAAAGATGATTGCAGATCTTCAGCAATAAAGAATGGGTGGCTCATTTTTTTTCTTCTCTTTTTTGAGACAGAGTCTCACTCTGTCACTCATGCTGGAGCACAGTGGCACGATCTTAGCTCACTGCAACCTCTACCTTCTGAGTTCAGGTGATTCTTGTGCCTCATCCTCCTGAGTAGCTGTGACTACAGGTGCTGCGCCACCACACCCAGCTAATTTTTGTATTTTTAGGAGAGACGGGGTTTCACCATGCTGCCCAAGCTGGTCTCAAACTCCTGAGCTCAAGCAATCCTCCTGTCTCTGCCTCCCAAAGTGCTAGGATTATAGGCATGAGCCACCATGCCCGGCCCAGCTCATATTTTATAAATTAGCTAAACAAATAAAGCTCTGGACATCTGGGAACTTATGATTGAAATAAAAAATGGTTTATTATATTTTGATTCAAATTTATTATATTTAGATTTCTATTTTGAGACATGTTTTGGAGTTCTTTTTTTGTTTTGTTTTGGAGTTCTTAAGAAGATAAGGTGTAAGCTTTTAAAAAGATATGATTTTTTTAATAAATTTATATTTATTGTTACTTTTAACATACTGTGAATTTTATACCCAGATCAACGACTAAGTGCCTTTTCATCCAAATGGAATTCTGTGATAAAGGGACACTGGAGCAATGGATTGAAGACAGAAGAGGCAAGAAACTAGACAAAGTTTTGTCTTTGGAATTCTTTGAACAAATAACAACAGGGGTAGATTATATACATTCAAAAAATTTAATTCATAGAGATCTTAAGGTAAGCAGAAGTACTTTATTAGTTGATACATATAATTTACTAATTTAAAAATATATCTTCTTAACTGGACACAATGGCTCACACCTGTAATCTTAGCACTTTGGGAGGCTGAGGCGGGTGGATCACCTGAGGTCATGATTACAAAACCAGCCTGGCCAACAGGGTGAAATCCTGTCTCTACTAAAAATACAAAAATTATCCAGGTATGATGGTGTGTGCCTGTAATCCCAACTACTTGGGAGTCTGAGGCAGGAGAATTGTTTGAACCTGGGAGGTGGAGGTTGCAGTGAGTGGAGATTACACCACTGCACTTCAGCATGGGCAAAAGAGTTGAGATTTGAGACTCAACTTGAGTTCAGCCTTGAGACTCACCTCAAAATATATATATATATGTACATATGTGTGTGTGTGTGTGTGTGTGTCTTTAGTTTTAGAATGGTGGTTGATTGATAGTTATGAGAAAATGATATTTCTGATCCTCTAATGTTAGAATGGGTCTAGAACTAGCCCCAGATGTGGTTCCATACAGCTACTCAGAAGATCTCCTGGGCTACCTAGTGAAGTTATTGTGACAATGAGCCCTGTTAAAAGTCTCATTCACTTCTCATTCTATGTGGGTGATAGTCATACCCAGATGTAAGCACTAATAGCTGTCAAATACTGAACATTTCCATGCAAATAATTACTGTGACTGGCACAGCCACCTGGCTGCTCTGTCCCTGCTTCTCCTGCCTCCTCTAAGTGACTCAGGCTTATTTGAGAGGCAGAAGGGACTCTGTTGACTGTGGCTTTAGGAATATGGTTCCCTAATCTCTCAGTCATTACTCTTGAAGGCTGTCACAGCTCTTGGGTCAGGAATCTATTGTCTTGATTAGGCATTTCAACCCCATGACTGGAAAATTGCAGTAATCCTAAACTGGGAAAGTGTATCATCCATTAGTATTTTTGTTTTCCTCTGGCTTTCATGGTCTGGACAAGTAGATTCCCTGCTTTTACTTCTCATCAAAATGACAGAAGGTGAGAGACCGAATAGCCCTTCACAGCCTTTTCTCCATTCCATATTCCCTGTGACTTACCTACACCTGTCACAAGCTGGCCATCCTAAATCCTGTCCCTGGGCCTTTGCTCATGTTCACTCTCATGGGACATTCTTCTACCTGTCCCCTTTGGTTGTAATTTCTTTCTGGAGCCTTTTCTGGTCAGTCTGGAACTGCCTTTTTCTATTCTAGGCAGAAGTACCTCATTTAGGTGGCTATCTGTTTACCCCACTCCTCTAAAACAGCCAGGAATAAGGAAGGAAACAAAAAATTCCTTGAGAGAAATAAGTGCCCATATATACAGTTGTTTATTGGCTCAGATATGAATGAGTAGCACTTAAAAGGTATTGCTTCTGTGGTCTGCTCAGAGGCTGGCTGCCTGATGTGTTGGTGTTTTGAGTCTGCCTGGTTCCAATATGTCTCTTCTACAATATCTGAAGGTGTTATTTGAAGTTGCAATATCGTCAAGACTATTTCAAAAGGATAATTGTAGAGTGGTTATACTTTCACTTTGGGATAAATCACACATATAGGTAAATAACAAAATAAGCACAATTATTTCTATATATAATGATTTGCAAATAAATGCAGAAGTGTAGGCATCAAGTTCCTAATCTTCAGAATGAATTAGCAAAATTCTGACTGGTGCCTATCCACTTATTTACCAATTGTACCCCGCACTGTGTACTCTGTGTCATAGACTGGTCTTTCCTTGCATCTATTTGCAGAGAATTTTTGCTCTGGCTACGGTTGCTCAAGGGTCAGACTTAATTATTTTTAAATTAAAACAAATTTTTTGAGACAAGATCTTGCTCTTTTGCCCAGGCTAGAGTGCAGTGGTATGATCATGGTTCATTACGGCCTTGATCTCCTGGGCTCAAGCAGTCCCCCGACCTTAGCCTCCTGAATAGCTAGGACCACAGGTGTACACCAGCACACCTGGGTAATTTTTTGGTTTTTTGTAGAGACAGGGTCTAACCATGTTGCCGAGGCTGGTCTCAAACTCCTAGACTCAAAACAATCCTCCTACCTCAGCCTCCCACAGTGCTGGCATTCCAGGTGTGTTCCACTCCACTTGGCCTCAAGCTTTGATAGTGAGACTTCTTTCATCTTCTGTCACTTTTCTAGCTCTCACTACTACAGCTGTTGATTTCTCTCTTCTAAGAAAAGATTCAGTGAAGGTGTACACTTTTGGGGTTATGCTTTGCAAAATAGCAGGTGTAGGTGGTTTTGCCAGAGAATGGTCTTTACCCAATCCAGTCCCTCTTATAAAAGTCTCCAAATGTTTACCACTTTCTGTTGGAATCTTAGAAACTAGACCAAAGGTGCTGGGAGGGGACATAGGGGTTTCTGGAGTGAGGGCGTTTGTCCGAGGCTGCTTCTCTCTAAAATGTTCAGTCTCCTAAAGCCCCGGCTCTTTGGCTGTCCTTGGCCTGAGCATCAGCCCTGTTCCTGTGCCTCCTATGTGAAGTTTCACGCCTTTTTTATGCTCTACGACCCTATATTTTATCTAGTCATACTATAGCTGATTAGACAAAATGTGGCATTATTGTTTTTATTTCTTTTTTTTTTTTTTTTTTTTGAGACAAGTTCTCACTCTACTGTCCAGGCTGGAATGCAGTGGCATGATCTCAGCTCACTGCAGCCTCAACCTCCTGGGCTCAAGTGATCCTCCCACCTCAGCCCCCAAAGTAACTGGGACTGTAGGCACAGGCCACCAAGCCAGGCCAATTTTTGATATTTTGTAGAGACAGTACTTCACCATGTTGCCCAGGCTGGTCTCAAACACCTGAGCTCAAGTGATCTTCCAACCTTGGCCTTCCAAAGTTTGGGATTACAGGCATGAGCTTCTGTGTCCAGCCTCTTATTCTTTTATTTTCTTTCTTTCTTCCTTTCCTTCTTTCTTTCTTTCTTTCTTTCTTTCTTTCTTTCTTTCTTTCTTTCTTTCTTTCTTTCTTTCTTTTCTTTCTTTTCTTTCTTTCTTTCTTTTCTTTTCTTTTTTTTTTTTTTTTCATGAGACACAGTCTCACTCTGTCGCCCAGGCTGGAGTGCAGTGGAGCAATCTCGACTCACTGCAACCTCTGTCTCTTGAGTTCAAGCAATTCTCCTGCCTCAGCCTCCTGAGTAGCTGGGACTACAGGCACCTGCCACCATGCCCAGCTAATTTTTTGTATTTTTGGTAGAGACCATGTTGGCAAGGTTGGTCTTGAACTCCTGGGCTCAGTCTGCCCACTTCAGCCTCCCAAAGAGCTGGGATTACCATGCCTGGCCCACTTTTTCCTTTTAACAAACTATAAAAAGTGATCTGATATTTTTACTACAGAGTCTCATCCAGCTTGGATATTTACAGTTTCTTAGAGTCAGGCGAGATAGCCTTATATGGGACCAGCAGTTTCACTTGCAATCCCAACATATTCCTACCTGTAACTTGAGCATAGCATAGGAATCTTTTCTCTCCACATCCACCCCACGTCTGTCTTCAGTCTTCCGTCTGTATTATTAGTGTTAGGCTCCAATCTGTTAATTGAATTCTACCCATTTTTATTAATACCCATTTTTAGAATGAAGCAATATTCCTGTTCTCTCTCCCTCTTTTTCTTCCTCTTTCTTCCTCTCCTTCTCTCCTTTTTTTACTTTTCAACATCCTAGTTCCTCACCTCTACTCAATACATTCCTCTGAACACCTGATTCCTTGTGATTCTCTGAAACCTCCAATCCATAAAAGAAAAAAAAAATGAATTCTAATCCAACTGCTAATTTCTGCATGGCCGTCATCTCAGGCTGGCTTCTTGGAAGCTCCTCCTTCAGCCTTTCCTGGGCCAATAGTCTCTTCCCTCTCAGGTTCTTTACTAGGTAGGCCCTCTCATAAGTGTGTTATCCCACAGTCTGTTTGTATATAGCCTAAGATTGTACTAAAAGTCCAGCCTTTTCAAAAATGGCAAAATACTAGTTTTCTCATCAACTACGTTTCTGTTTTTATGGTCTTTAGAATGTTGGTCACTATGGCTTCAGCTTGGTGGCCTGTGGTCCCAGCTACTTGGGAGGCTTTGGTGGGAGGATCACTTGAGCTGAAAAGGTCAAGGCTTCAGTGAGCCATGATCACACCACTACAATCCATCCTAGACAACAAAATGATACCCCATCTCAAAAACAAACAAACAGAATATTAGTCAATACCTCCTATGGGCTGGGCATGGTGGCTCATGCTTGTAATCCCAGCACTTTGGGAGGCCAAGGCAAGCAGATCACTTGAGGTCAGGAGTTTGAGACCAGCCTGACCAACATGGCAAAAACCCGTCTCTATTAAAAATACAAAAAGATTAGCCAGGTGTCGTGGCACACACCTGTAATCCCCCAGCTCCTTAGGAGGCTGAGGCAGGAGAATTGCTTGAACCCAGGAAGCAGAGGTTCTGGTGAGCCAAGATCACACCACTGCACTCCAGCCTGGGCGACAGAGCAAGACTCCGTCTCACAAAACAAAACAAACAAACAAAACACCTCCTATAAAGCTATGGAGTCAGAATGACCACTTCTATTCAGTTCTTCCTTTTTTTTAAAAAAAAAAAATCTGCTTAAAGAATTGCATGGATAAAAAATATTTCAGAGCTAGTTATCATCTTCCAATTAACTTGGTATCCTTTCAAGGTGGAAGGGATATGTTTAAGAAGTTGTCAGAGGCTTGGAGAAATTGACATAAAAAAGACCCCCAAGAGGCCAGGCATGATGGCTCACGCCTGTAATCCCAGCACTTTGGGAGGCCGAGGTGGGTGGATCACCTGAGGTCGGGAATTCGAGACCAGCCTAACCAACATGGAGAGAAATCCTGTCTCTACTAAAAATACAAAAGAATTAGCCAGGCATGGTGGTGCATGCCTGTAATCCCAGCTACTTGGAAGGCTGAGGCAAGAGAATCGCTTGAACCTGGGAGGCAGAGGTTGCGGTGGGTGAGCCGAGAACGCGCCATTGCACTCCAGCCTGGGCAACAAGAGCGAAACTCCGTCGCAAAAAAAAAAAAAAAGACCCCCAGGAGAAATTCTGCACAGGCTAATCAGCATTATTGTTGGGAAGGATCCATTTAGAGAATCTCAAGGTTGGAAGGGATCTTAAGGAGGTCCCTATCAGATAATGGACTCTTATTTACAACATTTCCTCAACTGGTTGTTCAGCCCTATCTTGGGATGGAGAACTAACTCCCATTCTTTGGACAACACTATTAGGATATTAGGATATTTTAAAGCAAATCTTTTGGTCATTTCCACCCTGTAGTCCTGGATCTGTTCCCTTGGACCGTGCAGAGTGGATCCACTTGGCATGTTACTGCTTTCCAGAGGGATAGCTGTGCCCCAAGCCACCTTTTCTGTGAGCTAAGAAATCCTCACTTCTTTCAGCTGGCATTTTAAAGACCAGTGATATTAAATTCCCTGATTTTGGCTCCCTGTGTAACGGTAAAGCTCTTATAAGTAATATAAAATGGCCATTGCTGTGTATGATTAAGACATGTGGTAATAGTATGTGAAGTCAGTACATGTAAGTTCAATTTTTTTTTCATAGCCAAGTAATATATTCTTAGTAGATACAAAACAAATAAAGATTGGAGACTTTGGACTTGTAACATCCTTGAAAAACGATGAAAAGCGAACAAGGAATACAGGAACTCTGCGATACATGAGCCCAGAACAGGTAAGGTTTCTTTCCTGTCTCTCTATATTTTACTTCTTTTATTTTTAAAATTATAAAAAGAGTAGACACTTCTTATACAATTAAAACAGTATAGAATTATATAGAATAAGAATCGAACATTCCCCTTAACATTCTTCTCCACCTGCATTCTTCTCATCAGTTTGTTCTTTTAGATAATTTTCTGTGAGTTATAAAAACATGCAAACCCAAATATACACCCAGACTTTTTTTTTACATAAACATATATGTGCATACATTTTTCAAGGACTTGATTATTTTTTTGTTTTGTGACTATATAGCATAATCTCTCCATATTAGTTCAACAAGAGCTGCCACATTCTTTTTTTTAACTATATTGTATTTCAAAATGTAGAGCTACCATTATTTAACTATTTTATCTTTATGTTTTATTTATTTAATCTTTAATTTTTTTATTTATTTAATCTTTTTCTGTTGTTGTTCTTACTTAATTTATTTTTTTATTTTTTTGAGACAGAGTCTCGCTCTGTCACCCAGGCTGGAGTGAAGAGGCTCATTGCAACCTCTGCTTCCCAGGTTCAAGGGATTCTCCTGCCTCAGCCTCCCAAATAGCTGGAATTACAGGCACCCACCACCATGCCTGGCTAATTTTTACATTTTTAGTAGAGACAGGGTTACACTATGTTGACCAGGCTGCTTATTTTGTTTTAGAGACAGGTTTTTCTGTTTCACCCAGGCTAGAGTGCAGTGGTGTGATCATTGCTCCCTGCAGTCTCAAAATCTTGGGTTCAAGCAGTCTTCCCACCTCAGACTCCTGAGTAGCTAGGACTAGAGGCACATACCACCATGCCCAGCTAATTATTTTTATTTTTATTATTTATTTTTATTTTTGTAGAGATGAGGTATCACTATGTTGCCCAAGTTGTATTTAACTATTTTCTTATTGAAGGGTATTTATTTAGGTTGTTTACAACTTTGTACACCTATCGACCTTCCTCATTATTTTGGGGCCCAAGAACAAATAATTCTATGATAATCTATGATTGATATCTTGAGGTGAAATGATTGAATAGGCTGACAAGTGCATTTCAAACTTAATTGCTGTTTAATTGTCATTCCCAAAGAAAGTGATTCTAATAATACTCTCCCCTCAAAATGTATGAGAATGCTGCGTCATCATACTCTCAATCAAACAAGGGTATGATCAGTGGTCACTTTTGGACCATGTGTTGAATTAGGAATATCTTGTTATTTTAGTTTGTATTTTCCAGATTTTTAGTAAGGTATGCCCTTTTTTCATATATTTACTTATCCATTTTCTGTAAATTCTCTACTCATATCCTTTCCCAATTTCTCCTAATTAAGTTGTCTTTTTCCCATGTATTTGTTAGGAATCTTGATATGTATTAGGTGTTGATTCTGTATCTGTTAACTGTATTACCGAATTTTTCTGCTTGATTGTTACTTCTTTATAATGACATTTTTGGTACTGCAGCTTTAAATTGTCATATTTATCAATATTTTCTTTATGGCTGCTAGGTTTCTCATTTTTATTTTGGAGGCTTCTACCACAAAATTATGAAAATATTTTGTGGTTTTACTAAGATAAAAGTACCCCAATTTGAATTAATTTTTGTACACGTATGAGAAAGGAATATAACTTGATTTTCCCTATGTGAATATGCAATTGCTTCGTCACCATATTTTAAGCAGTTCATTATTTAAATGCTATTTTAAGGAAAATTCACAGAGACAGAAAAGTGGAACCAAGGTTATCAGGAAGGGAGGAATAGGAGCTTCTTGTTTAATGGGTATAGTTTCTGTTTGGGGTGATGAAAAGTTCTGGAAATAGATAGTGGTGATGGTTATACAACATTGTGAAGGTAATTGGTGCCACTGAACTATAGGCATAAAAATGGTTAAAAGGGAATATTTTATGTTATATATATTTTACCACAATAAAATATTATTTTATCATATATAAAATTCCCACACATTCGTAGATGTGTTTCTGGACTTTGTTCTTTTTTATTGATTTATTTTATATTTTTCTCTTTAATATTATGCTATGTAGATTATTGTAGCATTTTAAACTAGGTTTTAGTATTTGAGCAGCAGGGGCTGCCACATTATTCTTCAGTTTTAAAATGCTCTTAGCTGTTCACATTGACAATTCCAAATGAACTCTAGAATCACCTTGTCATCTTCTATAACTGATTTTGAGCTTTTGATAGCAATTGCATCAAATGTGAGGATTCAGGTGAGGAACATTGATATCTTTATATATTTAAGACTTCTCCAAATTGGTATCTTCTCCTCACTTATTCAAGTCCTCCATCAGTCAGCTTTTGCCAAACTATGCTGTGGTAACAAAATGACGCCAGTTTCCTAGTGGTGCAAAAACACCAAGGGTCTATTTCTTGCTCGCATGACAAGTTGGCCCGAGCAGCTGCAGCTCCACGTGTCTCCTTCATTCCAAGACCCAGGCTGAAGGAAAATGCTATCTGAGTCACTGCCGTCCTCAAGGCAGAAAGCAATGGCAGAACCTTGTGATGGCTTTTACATGTTCTGCTCAGCGGTGGCATACGTCACTAAACATCATTTCCCAAAGCAAAATGCATGGCCCAGTTCGAGACAGTGAGGAGGCCAGGAGGCCAGTGCAGCACTGGGGGTAATTGTACAACCTACCTCAAGGCCACTTTTATATTCTTCAAAGTATATATATAAAAAATTGCGTTTTAGGTTCTGGGGTACATGTGAAGAACATGCAGGATTGTTGCATAGGTACATACATGGCAATGTGGTTTGCTGCCTCCATCCCCATCACCAAATCTGGCATTTCTCCCCATGTTATCTCTCCCCAACTCCCTAGCCCCCACTGTCCCTCCTCTAGTCCCCCCCAACAGACTCCAGTGTGTGATGCTCCCCTCCCTGTGTCCATGTGTTCTCATTGTTCAACACCCGCCTATGAATGAGAACATGCAGTATTTGATTTTCTGTTCTTGTGTCAGTTTGCTGAGAATGATGGTTTCCAGGTTCATCCATGTCCCTACAAAGGACACGAACTCATTGTTTTTTATGGCTGCATAGTATTCCATGGTGCATATGTGCCACATTTTCCCTGTCCAGTCTATCATCGACGGGCATTTGGGTTGGTTCCAAGTCTTTGTTATTGTAAACAGTGCTGCAATGAACATACTTGTACATGTGTCCTTATAATAGAATAATTTATAATCCTTTGGATATATACCCAGTAATGGTATTGCTGGGTCAAATGGAATTTCTATTTCTAGGTCCTTGAGGAATCGCCACACTGTATTCCACAATGGTTGAACTAACTTACACTCCCACCAACAGTGTAAAAGTGTTCCTATTTCCCCACATCCTCTCCAGCATCTGTTGTCTCCAGATATTTTAATGATTGCCATTCTAACTGGCATGAGATGGTATCTCAATGTGATTTTGATTTGCATTTCTCTGATGACCAGTGATGATAAGCATTTCTTCATATGTTTCTTGGCCTCATATATGTCTTCTTTCGTAAAGTATCTGTTCATATCCTTTGCCCACTTTTGAATGGGTTTGTTTTTTTCTTGTAAATCTGTTTTAGTTCTTTGTAGATTTTGGATATAAGTCCTCTGTCAGATGGGTAGATTGCAAAAATTTTTTCTTATTCTGTAGGTTGCCAGTTTACTCTAATACTTGTTTCTTTTGCTGTGCAGAAGCTCTGGAGTTTAATTAGATCCCATTTGTCTATTTAGGCTTTTATTGCCAATGCTTTTGGTGTTTTAGTCATGAAGTCCATGCCTATGCCTATGTCCTGAATGGTTTTGCCTAGGTTTTCTTCTAGGGTTTTTATGGTGTTAAGTCTTATGTTTAAGTCTTTAATCCATCTGGAGTTAATTTTAGTTTAAGGTGTCAGGAAAGGGTCCAGTTTCTGCTTTCTGCACATGGCTAGCCAGTTTTCCTAACACCATTTATTAAACAGGGAATCCTTTTCTCATTGCTTGTTTTTGTGAGGTTTGTCAAAGATCAGATGGTTGTAGATGTGTGGCATTGCCTCTGAGGTCTCTGTTCTGTTCCATTGGTCTATGTCTCTGTTTTGGTACCAGTACCATGGTGTTTTGATTACTGTAGACTTATAGTATAGTTTGAAGTCAGGTAGTGTGATGCCTCCAGCTTTGTTCTTTTTGCTTAGAATTGACTTGGCTATGTGGGCTTGAAGTTTTTTAAAGTTTGTCTTTGTCAAGATTGTGTATATATATATATATTTTTTTTTTCTTTTTTTTGAGACAGGGTCTTGCTTTGTCACCCAGGCTGGAGTGCAGTGGCATAATCTTAGCTCAGCACTGTGCAGCCTCGACCTCCCTGGCTCAGGTTATCCTCCTGAGTAGTTGGGACTACAGGTGCAAGCCACCAAAACCTGGCAAATTTTTATTGTATTTTTTGTAGAAACTGGGTTTTACCATGTTGCCCAGGCTATTCTCGAACTCCTGAGCTCAAGTGATCCACCTGTCTTAACCTCCCAAAGTGCTAGGATTACAGAAATGAGCCACCATGCCCAGCCATATTGTTTATATTTTTGGAACTTTCTCCAGAATATGTATTCTGTTTTGCTATTAAAATGAGATTCCACTCTTGAACCCAGGAGATGAAGGTTGCAGTGAGCGGACAAGAGCAAAGCTTTCTCTCAAAAAAAGAAAAAACAATTATTTTGCTAATAATACATCTTTCAAAGTACTACTACTATTTTGTAATCCAAGAATCAATATACTGAGTTATCTGATGAGTGAAAGTCTAGAATGGAGAACGTACCCACTTTTTCCTTTTGGGGGGCCACTTGGCACAAAAAATATAGAACACAATAGGAGGCCAATAGTTCTCGTTAACCCCCCCACTGCATTCAGTATCTCCTGCATCCTGTATTGCTGCCCTCACAATATTTGGTTAAAACATTCATCATGGTACTTTACTTTTTATTATGTGGTTTTTTTTTTTCCATTTAAAATCCTTTTGTTGGCTGGGTGCAGTGGCTCACACCTGTAATCCCAACACTTTGGGAAGCTGAGGTGGATCACCTGACCAGATCACCTCCAGTCAGGAGTTTGAGACCAGCCTGGCAAATGTGTTGAAACTCCATCTCCAATTAAAAACTATATATACAAAAATTATCCAGGTGTGGTGGCACATTCTTGGAGTCCCAGCTACTTAGGAGCCTGAAGCGGGAGGATTGCTTTAACCCGGGAGGCAGGGGCTGCTGTGAGCCAATATTGTACCACTGCGCTACAGCTGGGCGACAGCAAGACTCTGTCTCAAAAAAAAAAAAAAAAGAAAGCAACATTTTGTTGAGAAATAATTTATACACCATAAAATGCACAGATCTTAAGTGTATACTTTTTCGTTTTGACAAATGCATGCACCTGTGTAACCTGTAAGCCTATAAAGACATAGAACATTTTGTTCCTTCAGGCGCCTTTCCAGTCATTGACTCCACCCTATTGAGCAGAAGCAACCAGCACTCTGAGCTCTATTACTGTAGCTTAGTTCTTCCCATTCTTTACCTTCATGTGAATGGAATCATACAGTATAGACTCTTTGGTATTTAATTTCTTCATTCAAAATAATGTCTTCTGGAAAAAATTTATTTGTTGCTCATACCAGCAGAGAATTCCTTTTCATTGCTGAGTAGTAGTCCATTGTATGAATATGCCACAATGTATTTATCTATTCTTCCATTGTGGTCCTTTGGGTTGTTTCTAGTTATGGAATATTGTGAATAAATAGGCTATGAACAGTTACAAAGCAAGTTACCTACTGGGTACTATTTTAACTGCTTTACCTGCTGCATCTCATTTACCCTCACAATCACACTCTGTGGTTGATACTGCTGTTATCCTCATTTTATAGCTGAGATTATTCCCATGTTGATAGTTTATTTATTTATTTATTTTAGGACAGAGCCCTGCTCTTTCGCCCAGGCTGGAGTGTAATGGCACGATCTTGGCTCACTGCAGCCTCCGGCACCTGGGTTCAAGCAATTCTTCTGCTTCAGCCTCCAAAGTAGCTGGAATTACAGGCACTCGCCACCATGCCCCGCTAATTTTTTTGTATTTTTAGTAGATACGGGGTTTCACCATGTTGACCAGGCTGGTCTCAAACTCCTGACCTGGTGATTCACGCGCCTTAGCCTCCCAAAGTGCCAGGATTACAGGTGTGAGCCACCACACCTGGCCGATAGTTAAATTACACAGAGGAGTCAACTATTCAGTAGTACAGATTTGAACCTAGGCAGTCAGACTCCACAGATCTTGCTAATAAATAGACATTGTTGTGTGATGTAAGCTGTTTTGCTCAAATGACTTTTGGTGCTTTAGAAGGCTGAATATTTATGTAAGGAGAGTAACAATGGTAAATATATTTTGGTCTCTTTAGATTTCTTCACAAGAATATGGAAAGGAAGTGGACCTCTATGCTTTGGGGCTAATTTTTGCTGAACTTCTTCATGTATGTGACACTGCTTTGGAAACATCAAAGGTAAAATGATCTCAAAGAAAGAATTAAACAAGAAAAATTACTGACCACCACCTTCAAAGTGCTGCTGCAGACAGTTCTTGCTCTCATATGAGGATAGGCTTCAGCATATTAGTATCTGACTGGACATGAAATATGAATTGTCTGTCTTTCAAGGTTTGGCAAAGAAAGACCATAAACTTTGTTAAAGAGCAAAAGCTTTGGTCTTCCCTGGAAGGTGGTACATCTCATAAGACTCATAAGACTTGATTCAGTCTATAAAATGTTATTGATTAACTGCTTTGTGTAAGACACTGTACTAAGTGCTATAAGGGTTGCAGAAATGAGCAAGCTTTGGCCAGGCACGGTGACTCACGCCTGTAATCCCGACACCTTGGGAGACCAAGACAGGTGGATCACTTGAAGTCAGGCATTTGAGACCAGCCTGGCCAACATGGTGAAACCTCATCTTTACTAAAAATACAAAAATTAGCTGGATGTGGTGGCGTGCACCTGTAGTCTCAGCTACTCGGGAGGCTAAGGCATGAGAATGGCTTGAAGCCGGGAGGTGGAAGTTGCAGTGGCCTGGGTGACAGAGTGACATTCTTTCTAAAAAAGAAGCCTTCTTCTCAAGATGCACCTCAGCCTCCTGAGTAGCTGGGATTACAGGCACACGCCACTGTGCCCAGCTAATTTTTTTTGTAATTTTAAGTAGAGACGGGGTTTCACCATGTTGACCAGGTTGGTCTCGATCTGCCGACCTCGTGATCCACCCGCCTCGGCCTCCCAAAGTGCTGGGATTACAGGCTTGAGCCACCGCGCCCGGCCTAGGATGCTTATTTTCTAAAAGAGAAGATAATATAAGAAAATTCCATAAGCATTTTAGGAGAAGGTATGAAGTCTGTGGAAGCAGCTGGGAGGGACATCTTTCCAGCTAGCTGTAGGGACTTAGGTTTCATGGAGACACTAAGCTGAGCTCTGAAGGATCTCTAATAGTCCAAAACAGAAAAGGTGATTCCAGCCTGGAGGCGGGAATGTACAGAGCATATTTGGAGACAGCAGGCAGTGTAAGTGTAAGTTGTATTGGAGTATGTAAGTTACAAGGAAGCAGTGGTTGTTGAGAATAGAAAGATAGGTTAGGCTAATTTGAGGTAAAAATGTAGACTTTCTTGCTTAGGCAGTGGGGAGCCCACTAAAGACAGCAGGCAACTGGATATCCTACTTTTTCTTTTTTTTTGCCCAGGCTGGAGTGCAATGGCACAATCTTGGCTCACTATAACTTCCGCCTCCCATGTTCAAGTGATTCTCCTCCCTCAGCCTCCCAGGTAACTGGGATTATAAGCATGTGCCACCATGCCTGGCTAATTTTTTTGTTTTTAGTAGAGATGGGGTTTTATCATGTTGGTCAGGCTGGTCTCGAACTCCCAACCTCAGGTGATCTGCCCACCTCGGCTTCCCAAAGTGCTGGGATTACAAGTGTGAGCCACGGTGCCCAGCTAGATATCCTACTCTTAAATTCAGGAAAGGGAACTCTCCTGGAGTCAGTAACCTTATCCTCTGTAAAACAGTTAGAACCTACCTATCACATAGGGTTCCACAGTGCATGAAGGGAGATTGTGAAGATAATGCACTTAACACTTCAGTCATGCTGCAAGGATGGTTATTAGAGTGGGGGTAGGGTGTTTGTATTAGAGCATAGGGTAGGGTGGGAGAGAGGGAATCCTGCTTGCTTCTTGGCTAAAGAGACTTTCCCCAAAATCTGGAAATAGCCTACATTTCACAGGTATCTCCAGCCTTTAATTCTGTTTGTTTTTCCTCCCAAGTAAATAATTTCCTAATATATACCTATCTTTTTTTTTTTTTTTTTTTTTTTTTCAGTTTTTCACAGACCTACGGGATGGCGTCATCTCAGATACGTTTGACAAACGAGAAGTAAGCACTTGAAAATCATCAGAATTTTATTTATTTCAGTGTTTTATTTTTTACTATTGATTCTCACTGTCATTACAGAAAACTCTTCTACGGAAATTACTCTCAAAGAAACCTGAGGACCGACCTAACACATCTGAAATACTAAGCACCTTGGCTATGTGGAAAAAACACCCAGAGAAAAATGAACGAAACACATATTAGAGCCCTTCTGAAAATGTCTCTGCTTCTGATTTGCAATTTTCCTTGAATTATCTAATAGATATTTACCTTTTAACTTTTCCCTCTAATTTTTTACTACATTTGCAGAAAGGTTTTCTTCTTTTCGCTTCAGAAACATTCTTACATGTTATTTGTATCTATTATAATAACTGCTTTAAAGACAACTGTCCTGTAAGGCAGTAGCTACGAAGAGAAAATAGTCCAAATAGTCCATCGGGCAGGGGTGAGATCACTTTCTACTGAGGACAGTCCAGTGGGCCTCCCAAGTATATGTGAGGGTGTTAGATTACGAGTAGGGAGGATACCACCCAGGAAGTCTGGACAAGGGGACTGGGGTGAGTTCTGGAGAAGGTGTATTTGAGGACCATGGGGTATGCTAGTTTGTTGTCCTGAATTGCTGTAGAGAATGCTGAAAGATAATTTGGATTGTATCTGAGAAGACCTTGAGGGTTAATTTTAACTTTAGAGCAATTGTTTTCTTTTCTTTTTTTTTTAGATGGAGTTTCGCTCTTGTTACCCAGGCTGGAGTGCAATGGCATGATTTCGGCTCACCGCAACCTCCGCCGCCTCCTGGGTTCAGGCAATTCTCCTGCCTCAGCCTCCTGAGTAGCTGGGACTACAGGCATGCCCTGCCATGCCCAGCTAATTTTTTGTATTTTTAGTAGAGATGGGGTTTCATCATGTTGACCAGGATGGTCTTGATCTCTTGACCTCATGATCCACCCGCCTCGGCCTCCCAAACTGCTGGGATTACAGGCTTGAGCCACCGCGCCCAGCCTAGAGCAATTGTTTTCATTTGTTTTGTATTGCTTTAAATGGATAGTTGACGCTGGATAATTTATAAGGGAAAGAGATTTCTGTAACTTACAGTTCTGCAGGCTGTATAAGCATGGCACAAGCATCTGCTTCTGCTCAGGCTGCTTCCACTCATGGTGAAAGGTGAAAGGGAGTCGGATGTGCAGAGGTCACATGGCAAGAGAGGAAGAAGAGATAGAGGGAGAAGGTGCCAGGCTTTTTTTTAACAACCCGCTCTTGAGGAAACTAACAGATTGAGAACTCCTTGCTTCCCACCCCTAGGCATGGCATTAATCTATTCGTGAGATCCCTCACGACCAAAACACCTCCCATCAGGTCCCACCTCCAACATTGGGATCAAATTTCAACATGAGGTTTTTTGTTGTTGTTGTTGTTTTTAATTGTACTTTGGGTTCTGAGGTACATGTGCACATCCTGCATCCTGCAGGATTGTTGCATAGGTATATACATGCCATGGTGGTTTGCTGTCTCCATCCCCCACCTCCCCCGCTGCCTTGCCTACATCAGGCATTTCACCCAGTGTTATCCCTCCCCATCTTCCCTGCCCCCTCACTGCCCCTACTCCACCTCACCTAGCCCAGTGAGTGTTGTTCTCTTCCCTGTGCTCAAGTGTTCTCATTGTTTATCACCTACCTATGAGTGAAAACATGCGGTGTTTGGTTTTCTGTTCTTGTGTAAGTTTGCTGAGAATGATGGTTTCCAGGTTCGTCTGTGTCTCTATAAAGGACACAAACTCGCCATTTTTTATGGCTGCATAGTATTCCATGGTGTATATGTGCCACATTTTCTTTGTCTAGTCTATCATTGATGGGCATTTGGGTTGGTTCAGGTCTTTGCTATAGTAAACAGCGCCACAACGAACATACGTGTGCATGTGTCTTTATAATGGAATGATTTATAATCCTTTGGATATATACCCAGTAATGGATTGCCGGGTCAAATGGAATTTCTATTTTTAGATCCTTGAGGAATCGCCACACTGCCTTCCGTAATGGTTGAACTAATTTACACTCCCACCAACAGTGTTTCTAGTTAGGGCTTTGAAAATAAACAGCACAGTATACACAAAAGTAAATGACAACGTGGTAGTATATTTTACATTGTTTTACAGTTTCAAATTTCATATGAATGTTCTCAAACAAATTTTAAAATTCTTTTCAATGTTTTGGTTCCCTTGATGTTCCTTGTTGCGTATGTATAAAGTCATTAAAGACCTAAAAATAAGTTTTTATTCATATTGAAAGCCTGATTTTTTTTTCCTTAAGATGAGGGTCTCTCACTATATTGCCCAGGCTGATCTCAAACTCCTGGGTTCAAGGGATTCCCAACCTCACCCTGAGTAGCTGGGACCATAGGCATGCACCACCGCACCTGGCTGAAAGCCTGGATTTTTATCCTTCGATAGACAAGAACAGAAGGATATCTCCCACACTCTAAGCTGGTCTAGTTTTATTCCTAGGCCTGTAAATGTAGACCACAATCCTGGTGAAGTCATGGGTTCCATCAGTGTTATTCTGGCATTATCAGCATAATTGTTATCAACATGTTTAAAATATTTTAGGCCATGGAGCAGGTGTGGGTTGTCCCCATAGTAAGAGGAGAAAGGGAAGCCAGTTCCTGTCTAACTCAATTCCATCTGAAATTGTCCATTCAGCTTTGGGATTTGACTGAAAGTTGTTATGTTGGCTGATAATAACAAAGTATTGCAAGGGTAAAATGTGCTCCTCTGTTTTATTAGTAGCTAGGAATATAATTATATATATACATATACATATATATGCGTTTTGTGTATATATATATATTTTTTGTTTGTTTGTTTGAGACAGGGTCTTGCTCTGTCACCCAGGCTGGAGTGCAGCAGCATAATCTCAGCTCACTGCAACCTCTGCCTCCCAGGTTCAAACAAATCTCATGCCTCAGCCTTCTGAGTATCTGGGATTACAGGCATGTGCCACCACACCCAGCTCATTTTTGTACTTTTAGTAGTGATGGGGTTTCACCATGGTGGCCAGGCTCAAACTCCTGGCTTCAAGGCCTGCCTTGGCCTCCTAAAGTGCTGGAATTACAGGAGTGAGCCACTGCACTTGGCCAATTTTATAATTTATTTTTTTAAACAATAAAGTAAATATTAACCAACAGCATCCAACCATATAACTATTGTGTGTGTGCGTGTGTGTGTGTATACACACATTCATAAAAATAATGGTTAGTTTTCTGGATGAAGAACTGAGGCCCAGAAGTTAACTGGATTAGTGGTTCAAGCTAGGCTACATTTTAGAATCAAGAGCAGTGATGCCCAAGTCACAGTGACCAATGGCATCAGAATCTTTTGGGGTGGGATCCTTTTATTATTATTTTGTAAAGTTCCCCAAGTTAAACTTGAAAAATGAATTGGGTCATATTAGGTCAGAGATTCATACAAGTTGTACTACTGATTTTCTTACCCTAGCAAGTGTAGGTTTTTGTGATTTTCTTATGTGTGGTGTTTCTAATAAAAGAGGAGGTTGATCTCTTGCTCAATGCAACTAAAAGGTGAGCTATAAAATCACACAGGTGATCACAACTCTATCCAAAGAACAGTGGTGCTCCATACTTAACCTCAGCACTAGTTCTTATCCTTAGGTGCTTATCACTCATTCTTGGGACTTCAAAATAAATAATAGATACAGATATCCAGGGAACTACCTTAGACTAGATAAATCAAAATCAATCACTAGGAAAGACACCTGAGCATATGAACTTGCAAAAATGTTCATCATTTTGATGCCTCACCCTGGATGGAGCTCTCTCATAGTATGCCACATGGTATGTCCTTAGCTGTATTCAGTAAAATTACAGGGAAGCAGATTCCAGTTTAAGAGAAAACCATGAAAATAATTTAGAGCTACCCAGTAATGGAATAGTTTTAAGCAGTGAGCTCTGTGGCTGGAAGAATAAAAGCAAAGGTTGAATTATCACCTGCTGGGAATGGTATCAAGGGGTTTCTAAATTCAGTGAGTACTGGGATCACATGAAATTTGAGTTTCCTCACAATTCTTAAGTTTCTATAGCCAAAACTTCAACAGATCACATATAATGGATATAGATGTTGTCATTAAAGCTCATGATTTTACCAGAAATTATCACAGTTATTTTGTGTGTAAAATGGATTAGAATTTAGTAGTACTGATGGAACACTGCCTCTGACATCAGTCTTATTCAGGGGAATACTTTTCCCCTCCACTTCATGCTTGGATGGAGGGAAGGGAACTTCTCTTTGCTCCTTCAAAGTGAGAAGTGTAGGAAAAAGCTCTCTGAACCCTCATTCATTGCTTCCCAACAGAGAACTGTCTTATCCTATGGGAGATACTAGAAGGAACTGAGCATGTGTGGTCCAGCCCCTGATGGTTTCCCTGACCTTGAAAGCTAACTGGTCTCAGAATGCAAAGATGGGCTCTGCCCCTACAAGGCAGAGGGCCACCATTCTCTCCAATCAGGGAGAAATATTAGTGTCTGATTGGAGAAAAAGTCAATCTTCTTCTCTATTTCAGCTTATTCACTGATAAAGTAGATATTTTTCTTTTCCTGACTCCCATTTTTTATTTCTTAATTTGTTCCAAAGTAAAAGGGGAATAAGAGAGTTACCTGTTGGTCCTCAAACCGCTCAGGTATCAAAATACAGCAATAAATTTTAACTGTCCATCTCTATGATACTTGTGTTCTGAAATGGCATTGCAATATTTTTTTCAAGTCAGTGAACACTCATATACTAAAGTACAAAAAGAACAAAACATTATATAAAGTCCCCTATTTCTTTACTGGCATAAAAAATGTGGGATTTCTAATTGCTGAACTGTCTATCCCTAGGAAATAACATTTTTCAAGTTTCCACTTTATTGGGAATGACCTTAGTCATGATCTGCAGAAGTTGGTCCTGGACAATTTGAAGATAGGTCTTCTCTATCTGTAAGTTATGTGAGGGAAATAAAAGATTAATACAACTTCTATAGTAAACTATTCTAGAACATTATTTCACTATAACATGCATTTTTTGATCTGCTGTGTTTGCTACTTATTCTGCTAAACAAACCAGAAAAGATAAAAACAACAATAACCAAAAATTCTTCATTCTCAAGTACAAAGTTCTTAAATACAAGTTAGCAAAGGTAGTTGGGCAAATGTGTTTGAAAGAGAAACATTTGGCTCTGTAAGACACTTGGTAAGTGTAAACCATTTCTATTCTTATAACGAAAAAAAGGGATGGATTTCAACATATCTGATTTTTACTGTTTAGGGGTAATATTCTATCTAACTATATAAAAATTAGCTCTCAAAATTTAATATATTTAAAATATCTGTAGCCAAAGAAAGAAACTTTAAAAATAAAGCACAAAAAATTCATTATCGTCAGGTTATTCTAAAATTGTTTCTTTTGAAACAAAACGCTGAAAAATTCCCTTTCACACATTCAGTTTCTCAAAAGTTAAATGCAATTTTAATAAAGCCTCAATTACTTCTATAGCCACTATTTAAGACATTGGTCCCACATTGCCATTTGAATAAGAAACTTCTGGCTGGCTGGCTGTGGTGGCTTACACCTGTAATCCCAGCACTTTGGGGGGCCGAGATGGGTGGATCACCTGAGGTCAGGAGTTCAAGACCAGCCTGACCAACATGGTAAAACACCGTCTCTACTAAAAATGCATAGCCGAGCATGGTGGCACATGCCTATAATCCCAGCTACTTGGGAGGCTGAGGCAGGAGAATCACTTGAACTCGGAAGCTGAGGTTGCAATGAGTCAAGATTGCACCATTGCACTCCAGCCTGGGCAACAAGAGCGAAATTCCATCTCCAAAAAAAAAGAAAAGAAAAGAAATTTCCAGCCAGGTGTGGTGGCTCATGCCTGTAATCCCAGCACTTTGGGAGGCCAAGGCAGGCAGATCAACTAAGGGTGTGAGTACGAGACCAGCTGACCAACATGGAGAAACCCCGTCTCTACTAAAAATACAAAATTAGCCAGGCATGGTGGTGCATGCCTGCAAAACCAGCTACTCGGGAGGCTGAGGCAGGAGAATTGCTTGAACCTGAGAGGCAGTGGTTGCAGTGAGCCAAGATCGCACCATTGCACTCCAGCCTGGGCAACAAGAGCGAAACTCTGTCTCAAAAAAAAAATAAATTTCCATTGTTGCTGGGAAATGACTCTAACTACAAATCGGAGAGCATTCATATTCAGTATTTTTTTAAAGTATAAAGCATTTTCTTACCTTCATAGGCTGTTCCACACCAAATACAATACAGATGTTCTTCTCTTAAATAACTAGTCAATATTTGTAATTTTTCCAGTACCTACATATAGAATACAAGCACATTAATACTTTACATTGAACAGAACCTTGGTTTTCTGGCTCTTAGATCATGCTGAATTAGCCCAAGGCTGCTATACTCTAGAATAGTTATTAGAAATGTCAAGGGCAGAAGTGATATATTCAAATGTGTTCCAGTTCACTAGCCACCCTGAGATTTTCACAATTCTGCCAGACACAATAAAGACTAATTGTTAACATTGAGAAAATAGTTTTTGGGTGGCCTTATTATAATCAGCATCCATTAAAGGCCTTTTCTACTTTCAAGGCATCTAACTCTCCCAGATAAGGTGAAGGTGAATATTGCCTCCTTTTGCCATAAAAGTTCTCATCAATGGTCTCCCAATTAAGTGGAATATAGGTTCTTCAAATTGTGAATGTTTTCTACAAAATTATTATACTCAAGTAACCACAGATGTGTATCTTCCTTTCTTAAATAATCTCCATTTCCTTTTTTTTTTTGAGACAGGGTCTCACTCTATCACCTAGGCTGGAGGGCAGTGGCCTGATCTCAGCTTGCAACATCTGCCTCCCAGGTTCAAGTGATCCTCCTGCCTCAGCCTCCCAAGTAGCTGGGATTACTGGATGCCTGCCATCATGTCTGGCTGATTTTGGTATTTTTAGTAGAGACTAAAATACACCACCATGTTGGCCAGGCTGGTCTTGAACTGCTGACCTCAAGTGATCCACAGGCCTTGGTATCTCAAAGTATTGGGATTATAAGCCAATTATAAGCCACCACGCCCGGCTTCCAGTTCCTTTTGATTGTGTTTTTTTGTTGTTTATGAGCAAGAAAGAAAAGTACCTATTAGAATCACTTCTAGAAGTTTTGCAGGAAATAAAGTATAAATTAAAATAATTTACATTTGTTGCTAATTCATCAACCAAACTGAAGCTGAGATGAGAGGACAAATGGAAGCTAAAGGGAAATTTTATATGTAAGTTTTGATTTGTGGTTAATAAAATAATCCTGCAATGCAGTACCTCTCAACCAGGGGTTTTCTGCTCAGGGGACATTTAGTAATATCTGGAGAGAGTTTTGGTTGTCATAAGCAAAAGTGCAACAGGTTTCTGGTGGGCAAAGGCCAGAGATGCTGCTAAACATCTTACAATGCACAGGAGAGCTCCCTTTAACAACAGATTACCACAGCTCAAAGTGTTAATAGTGGCAAGGCTGAGACACCCGATGAAGGAAATGGTGCCAAAGCATACACTTAAATCTTCACTCTTATATTCATCTTCATCCTCTTCTTTTTCTTCTTCATCTTCTTCAGTCTCCTCTTCAATCCTCAACCAGTACCATGCTTCCCTGGGAACCTGAATATTCTGAAAATACAGTTATTGTCAATTAAACATACTAAACATAAGAGCATGACAAATATGTTCCTGTCAACATGAATTCATTCTTTCCATACGAATTCACTGAGTGTGGCTTTAAGAGTAAGAACATTGGCCGGGCTTGGTGGCTCACACCTATAATCCCAGCACTTTTGGAGGCCTAGGCAGGCAGATCATGAGGTCAAGAGATCGAGACTGGCTGGGCGTGGTGGCTCATGCCTATAATCCTAGCACTTTGGGAGGCTGAGGTGGGTGCATCACCTGAGGTCAGGAGTTCAAGACCAGCTTGGCCATCATGGTACAACCCCATCTTTAAAAAAAAAAAGAGAGAGAGAGATTGAGACCATCCTGGCCAACATGGTGAAACCCACACTGTCTCTACTAAAAATACAATAATTAGCTGGGCGTGGTGGCATGTGCCTGTAGTCCCAGCTACTCAGAAGGCTGAGGCGAGAGAATTGCTTGAACCCAGGAGGCAGTGGTTTGCAGTGAGCTGAGATCACAGCACTGCACACCAGCCTGGTAACAGAGCAAGACTCCATCTCAAAAAATAAAATAAAATAAAATAAAAGTAAAAACATTGCACCGTGAACTATGGGGATGCAAAGTCTAATTAGAAGTGTTCAATTATCTCTAAGTTCCTCCTGACAGTCTAGCAGGAAAGATAGGCTATGGGTACAAAATAATACATACATGCCACAAAATCCTAAGTGCCATGAAATACATTCAAAGTAAAGTAATACGTAAGAACAGGAAAGTAAGAGATTGCTTCCAGTGATCTATATATGAGGGAAACTTTACAAACCTTTTTGAGACTTCAAATGAAGTCATTTTATTTTTATAGTACTTGAACCCCTAAGACAAAAGCAAAGATAGAATTTATTTACTTATTTAATTTGTTTTTTTTTTTTTTTTTTTTTTGGTAGATGGGGACTTGCTATGTTGTCCAGGCTGGTCACAAACTCCTGGACTCAAGCAATCCTACCACCTTGTCCTCACAAAGTGCTGAGATTACAGACAGGAGCCACCATGCCCAGCCAGAAATAGAATTTTTTAAAAACCATTCGAATTTGAACCAGATAGCATTCCACCTTGACTTTATTTTTGAGACAGGGTCTCACTCTGTTACCTAGGCTGCAGTGCAGTGGCACGAACATGGTGCAATGCAGCCCTCAACCTTCTGGGCTCAAGTGATTCTCCCACTTCAGCCTCCTGAGTAGTGGGACTACAGGTGTGTGCCACTACACCTAGCTAATTTTAAAATTTTTTGTAGAGATGGAGTCTTGCCATGTTATCCAGGCTGGTTTCGAACTCCTAGGCTGAAACAATCATCCTGCCTTTGCCTCCCAAAGTGCTTGGATTATGGGCTTGAGCCATTACGCCAGGCCCACCTGATTTTAATAGTTAAGACACATATTAGATACTGAACAGGAACTATAAATAGGCTATTCTTGTTAATCAAATATTATAAAGAATAGAATTTCTGCACATACTAGTTGTAGTTGATATTCAAATAAGCAGAGAACAATTAAATGTAAAATTTTATTTAAACCATTTTGTTTTACTCTAAAACCCAGGGTTTCATAGACAACTCAGGTTACTATAGTAAATAAGCCATTTTTATATCAGTTATCACAGTTCAGAAGTGCACATTACATGAAAGCTTTAATGAGTAGATAAGCCAGGCTTCAAGTTCTTAGTTTTTTGGTTTTTTATTTTTAATATAAAAATACATGGGAACTCACAGTGGGTGCTAAAACACCTTACTAAACAGAAAGCTGGTAAAAGGCTTACTTTCTGGGTATCCAATTGTTGACAGGCTCGCTGGCTTCTTCTGAGATCTCCTTCTAGCTTCATTTCATCTTGCTTATTTTTAAGTCGCAGTCTAATTGAAAGAAAAAATTATACACTAAAGGTCTAGATTATCTTTAACCATTTTATCCCAAGTACCAGAGAACGTACCACAACAAAGGAAATAAAACCAAAATCAGTTATAAAATACAGTTTTACCGAAACTGTTCTGCAGCTTTTTCTTCAGCTTGGTTTTTCATGTGAATCTTTTTTCTGTAGCTTTCTAATTTTTCCTCTGCTTTCCGTTTTAATAATGCCTCGTGACCAATGCCACTTTTCCCTATTCAAACAGAAAATTCTGATGAGAAACATACTGACTTTTGCTTCAAAACATGACAATTTAACTATGTACAAATTAAATGCAATTCTCATTTGAGTACTATCACTCACAAATCATTTGAATACACTAATAGGAGAAAACATTAGGGTTTTTTTTTTAAGCCCAAACACATAATCTGATTTTTACAAAGGTTACTAATCTTATCTTATAAGATAGTAATACTATACACAACTTTTCAAATCAGAAAAATGGTATTAGCTGTTATACTTTTATTTAAATATGATTAATAAAATACATCTTTTTCTCTTGAAATCATCCAACGTATTAAGCAAAACATTTGATGGATAAATCTGTCTCAGAAAACTTTTCTTTTCTTTCTTTCTTTCTTTTTAACATAGGCTGGTATGCAGTGACAAAACTATGGTTCGCTGTAACCTTGAACTTGTTGGCTTCAGGAATCATCCTGAGCCTCCTAAGAAGATAGGACTATAGATGCATGCCACTACACCCATCCAATTTTTTTTTTTTTTTTTTGAGACAGAGTTTCGCTCTTGTTACCCAGGCTGGAGTGCAATGGCGCAATCTCGGCTCACCACAACCTCCACCCCCTGGGTTCAGGCAATTCTCCTGCCTCAGCCTCCTGAGTAGCTGGGATTACAGGCACGTGCCACCGTGCCCAGCTAATTTTTTGTAATTTTTAGTAGAGACGGGGTTTCACCATGTTGACCAGGATGGTCTCGATCTGCTGACCTCGTGATCCACCCGCCTCGGCCTCCCAAAGTGCTGGGATTACAGGCTTGAGCCACCGCGCCCGGCCTACACCCATCCAATTTTAAAAATGTTTTGTAGAAATGAGGTCTTGCTGTGTTGCCCACGCTGGTCTCAAACTCCTGGCTTTAAGCAATCCTTCTGCATTGGCCTCCCAAAACAAAACACTTTTAAGATATTTCAATGGAGAAAAGCAGTATTGCATGTTCAATGGTTATGATTTGTCCTTCCCACATTTGTGTGGTTTACATTTTATTTTATACTCATTAAAACTTATTTTTTTTTCTGGTTGAGGAGGCTTAGAGGTTTAACAAAATTTTACTTAGGGCTTCCTATGATAAGAACTGTAACAGTACCATCATTAAAAAAAGTATTTATTGAGCAAATATATGTGGTAGATCTAAGCATACATTATTACTGGCAAATATGCTCCAAAATAGTGACATACCTGTTTTGATATTGAGAGGAATCGGTTCAACAATACCACCCCCTAAAGGAGAATGAAATACAAACTGCTTTAGAAAATTTTCCTCAAACTACAGGACACTGTAAGTATACAACTTTACAATGCTCATACATATCCCTCCTGTTTCAATGATATTCAAAACTGAAATCTGAACATCAGTATTCTACATATAATCAATTACTTCACTTGTTTTCAAATACCTAGTCTTCAAAAAGGCTAAATCACAGTTTCCTATGCCACCTGAAGGTGGAGTTTTAAGAAGGAACAACACTGATATTATTGGTGCAAGAGAGTGACAGCCTTAAGTGAAAGCGAAGCAATTACAATAAAGGGAAGAAAAACTGTTGACAGGAGTTACTATAAATATACAGCCTCTCTATCTTAATAAGCAGTTTCACTTCCTAAAAGAGAGGTGAGAATTGAACCTCTCCAACTGGATGGTCGCTCAGGTGGCTGCCACAGGTATAGAGCAAGCAGGGAAAGTCTTGCCATCATCCTCAGTGTTGTTTCAATGTCTTTACCCATTGCACTTCTCAACCCATCACTTAACACTATTCTTTGCTGCTTCCGTTGTAAGCTACATCCATCCAGGTTGTTAGTGCCTTCAAGGCTAAGCTGGGTTGATAAGCAGCTCATGATGGCACATGTGGTATCTAAAATGGATATGGGAATATGAAAGTTCTCCACAAGGCTTGTTAATACGTAAGAGAGTAAAAAGCCTAAGTTGTTTTAATTTCTGTGTAGATAAAGATTAAAGCATCAGCTTTGGTCCTCATCCATAAGTCACAATTGGGTGGTAAGAAATACCTATTTCCCCATGTGACTTACCACTCTTGCCAAGTGCCTGTCCACTTCTGTATCCCATCTTTTGGAGCAAGGCAAACCCTTTGTTTTCACAGCCTAGTGCATTCTTCAACCCAATGTCACGTCTTTCTTGTTCTTCTTCTTTTAAACTCTTCTGCCTGTTTTTCAAATTAGCTTCCTGTTGCTTTTCTTCTTTTCGACGGGCTTCTCGGATTTGCCTTAGCATTGGCAATCCTGGTCTGATATCTTCTCTGCATAAGGGAAAAGGTCATTTTAGATGAATCCATGAAGTTCTCTCTCTCTCTCTCTCTCTCTCTCTCTCTCTCCCCTTCTCCTCTCTCTCTCTCTCCCTCTCCTCTCTCTCTCTCTCTCTCTCTCTCTTTGAGATAGAGTTTTGCTCTTGTTGCCCAGGCTGGAGTGCAATAGCATGATCTCAGCTCACTGCAACCTCCACCTCCTGGGCTCAACTGATTCTCCTGCCTCAGCCTCCCGAGTAACTGGGATTACAGGTGCCCGCTGCGTTCTGGCTATTTTTTGTATTTTTAGTAGAGACAGGGTTTTGCCATGTTGGCCAGGCTGGTCTCACCTCCTGACCCCAGGTGATCCACCTGCCTTGGCCTCCCAAAGTGCTGGTATTACAGGCGTGAGCCACCATACCCAGCCAAGTTTTTTTGTAACTCTGTCCCTTATTCACCTGACAAGAGTTAATATTTCGGCACTGCCTTTATGATCATCTTTGTTATTATGATATTAGAGCATAATCAAGTGACCTCCAAGAATGGCTGTTTTAGTAGAAATGATGAAGGCAGGTGCCAGACTGTAGGAAAATAAAGCACAAAGTTGAAGAAATCAGATATAGTAGGTTTAGACTTACTATTTTTCTAGGATGTTGGCAATAATAAAGAACAAAGTTGAATAGTAGCTAGAAGAGACAATAAGATAAATAAAGGAAAAGGAGTAAATTTCCTTGGAAGAAGGCAATAAAAAGTAAAATGGTTAGCATTAAAAGGAGGAAGTGGCTCCGAGTATCTTTGTATGGAGATATAGGAGGTATTTCTATAAAGCAAGAAGACTGACTTTCCAACTTCACATTTAAAATCATTGTCAGGCTGAGCAAAGTGGCTCAAACCTGTAATCCTAGCACTTTGGGAGGCCAAAGCCGGAGGATCACTTGAGCCCAGGAGTTGGAGACCAACCTTGGCAACATAGCAAGACCTTGTCTCTACAAATAATAAAAAAGAAGAATTAGCTGGGCATGATGGTGCAGGCCTGCAGTCCCAACTATCTGGGAGGCTGAGATGGGAAAATCTCGTGAGCCTAGAGAGTTTGAGGCTGCAGTGAGCTGTGATTGCGCCATTGCATCCAGCCTGGCTGACAGAGTGAGACCCTGCCTCAAAAAAATAAAATGAAATAGAATAAATGTCATTGCTTAATAATCTACATATCTTATACATATCATTACATTGGGTGTGCACATTTACTTACTGGACGTTAATGAAGGAATCAGACATATAGTCCTCTTCTTCTGCCATGTTCAACTTCATATGGCTATAGTATCTACAAATAAAGTAATAATTACTTTTTTTTTTAAGTTTACCAATATGGAAATAAACATTTTTGTATCTGCAGTCATAAGCTGTCTCTAGAGCTCTACTACACATTCAAGTGCCCTTTGGACATCTTTATCAGTGGACATTTCAAACTCAACAATCTAAACAACTCACTTCCTTGCCCCTTACCCAGCCTTCTACATCCCCTGTATTTCCATAATAATGTCATCATTATCTCCTTCTTCCTGACCTCTTATGAACCTCTGTCAAGTCTTCCTCCATAAAACTCCTCACAGACATTTTTTCTTCACTTTTTGACCACTATTTTAGCTCAGGTACTTTTTTTTCTCACCTGAACTATTACAACAGCTTCTTCTTCTTCCTTTTTTTTTTTTTTAAGATGGGGTTTCACCATGCTGGCCAGACTGGTCTCGAACTCCTGACCTCAAGTGATCCACCCACCTCAGCCTCCCAAAGCGTTGGGATTACAGACGTGAGCCACCACACCCGGCCTACAACAGCTTCTTAACCAGTTTCTTAGTTGGTCTCCTTGCCTTTGGCTTCTCCTCTTCCAATCCGTCCTCTGGACCCCATCCAGATATTTTTTTGTTTATTTGCTCATTTGTTTTTAAATACAAGTCAGGTCAGGTTACTAGCCTGTTTCAAATCCTTCATTAAACCTAACCCTGTAGGCAGTGGGGGACCAGTCACTTTTGCAAAGCATGAGTTGTTGTCCTTCATAATCTAACACAACTGTCCCTAAGGATTCATTATTGAAGCCACATGACTTCTCACTGCCCTCTGAACTCAGTGCAGATATTTCTTCCCTGTAGGCCAAGGCTACTCTCCTTTCAGAAACCTGTCCTAACCACTCCAGGCCTTTCTCTACAGTACTTTATGTTCAAGCTGCTCACTTGGAACTTGATATACTTAACACCTCACTTATATGGAAATATTTTGAGGGACAGTTTCTATCCAAAATAGTTAAAACCATGTAATTATCGGTCTTTAAAGGTTAAGGTAATTATCTAGAAAAGTATTTCTCAAACTTTATTGTGTATACAAATTGCACCGAGATCTTCTTAAAATGCAGAATCTGATTCTGGGGCTGGAACCTGAGGTTCTGCATTTCTAACAGGTTCTCAGGCAATGTCAATGTTGCCAGTTCAGTTACTGAAGACAAAAGTATAGTCACTTGTGGTGCACATATACTGTTTTTTCCTGCCTACCATCTTTTCCTTTGGGAACCCAACCCTCTGCCCTTCATGTGGTTCTACTGGAGGGTGGCAATGTCAGTATCCCATATTCCCTTGGGCACAAAGATTGTCAATTATAGTACCCAATGTCCAGCAACAGGGGAGGGTAAAACCCAACCAGGCAAATAACCATCTCTTTCCATACATGATATGATATATGGGTTGTGTGGGAAAGAAGTTCTTCATGGGTGTTTCTGAACTGGGAGTATGTAAAGCTGGGCTGTGGACGACCATCTTCTTGACCATATGAAGGGAACTTGTCTGAGGAATGAACCTAGGTAGAGAAAATGAGCCTAGTTTCTAAGGCTGTGGATTCTTTGATGCTGCAACTAAGCATTCTACCCCATTGCACAGACTAATAACATTTCTGCATTACTTAAGCTTGCTTAAGTAGCGGTTCTGCCAACTGCAACCAAGAGTCTAGACAGTTACACTGGATGAAAAAAGAATTATTGTACTAATTTTTAATTTTGGAGGGGGGGAACAGAGTCTCACTCTGTTGCCCAGACTGGAGTGCAGTGGCGTGATCTCAGCTCACTGCAACCTCTGCCCGAGTTCAAGCAATTCTTGTGCCTCAGCCTCCGAGTAGCTGGGATTACAGACATGCACCACCACACCCAGCTAATTTTTGTGTTTTTAGTAGAGACAGGGTTTCGCCATGTTGGCCAGGCTGGTCTCAAACTCTTGGCCTCAAGTGATCCACCTGTCTCACTTAGTCGCCCAAAGTGCTGCGATTACAGGCATGAGCCACCAAACCTGGCCTGATTTTTAATATTTTTCATGTTTATCGTCTCAACTAGATAGTGTATATCTTGTGTTAAACACAAAGACAGGTCCCCTATATCCTCCCTCCCTACCACTGCATCTCAAATATAAATTCTTAATAACTGTTTAGCTACAATGAGGATAAGAAGGGTCTTTAATATTTGTGATTTTGTAGTAACTTTCTCCTGTCAACATGTCATTTTAAAACACTTTTTAAATAAGTCTAAGTGCAGAAAACACATAAGACAAATGTATAGCTTAATACATTATTGTGAGTCAAACATAATGGTTTAACTCCCGGTATATCACACATTTTTATTACATTTAACCACCACTAACAACTCTACAAGGTAGGAATAGTTTTTCCTACTGGAGAAATGAAGGCTCAGTATGGCTAAATGACCATTTCAAAACCACAAAGGATCCGAGTCATAGTGTCTTGCTACGGCAAATAGGATTACATTGTTTTTAAGAGACCTATTTAACTTTAAAGTGCCAGGCACATCTGAATGGAGTTACAGGTTGCTTTTAAAGCTCTCTTTCTATCGGTAAAATATACTTTAGCATTATCCATTTCCATCAAACATGAAGCATAAACTTCACAGGCGGTATCCTGGCAGAGATGACGGAGGCTTGGACCAGAGTGATAGCAATGGAAGTGGTCGCATTTGGGGTGTACTTGAAGGTAGAGCTTACAGGGCTTGCTGATGTTGTAGGTAGTATGTAAAGAACGATGTCAAGATAATGCTAAATTTTTGCCCTGAATACATGGAAGAATGGAGTTAACATTTTTGGGGAAGTGGGAAGACTGTAGGAGTAGGTTTGTTTTTGTATTTTTAGCGGGGGTAGTAGGGAAACATGAGTGCTGTTTCAGACATATTGAGAGTCCCATTACATATATATAAGTGGAGAGATGGACTAAGTATTTAGATCTACAGTAGAAATGTGACAAGAAACGTCTCACTCTCAACACTCCGCTCAGGAACCGCTGATTTCCCTCACGCGTTCCTCCTGGCTGCAAACGTCCCACAAACGCAATCATCCACGGATGGAAAAGTGGCTGACAGTGTCACAGGGTAGTCACAGCCAACGCACACTGCCTTTTATCATTCCAGCGGCTGTCCCCAGACCCTTACCTGATAGCTCTGTGCTCACCCTGGTTCAGCTCCCGGGAGCGCGCGCTGCGCAGGCGTCCAAGGACAAGCGTCGGACTTCCGGGCCTCGCCTCCCACCAGTTTCCGAGCGCAGACTGAATTGGAAACCGGGTCGACTGGGCTAGGAGGACGTGGTGACTGCGCTTGCGCAAGACCAGCTTTCTGCGCACGCGCTCTTTCCTTGTTTCCTGTCGGCCGGAGTGCGGGAGGTGGGGCATCCGGGTCTCCTGGTGGCTGTCCTTGCTCCGCGGGCTCAGCTGATCGGCTCTTCCAGACTAGGAGGTGAGACCGAAGCATGCACGGTGACACGCATGCACTCCTGTCCCACCTACATTTTCAGAGGGGTGGGGAGGAAATTTGAGTTCGTAATGAACATTTTCGCTTTTCTGGCTCCGTTCTCGGTTCCGAGCCGCCGTCTCTTGCTATTGACAGACTGCGGAACCCTACGGAGGCTTGCGGCGGCCTCTTACGTTTACCCCGCTCCGGTGCTGCGGCTCTTGGAGTAGCCGGGTGAAGCCAGATCCCGAGCGCGCGTTCCCAGACTGCCAGGTGTTGTCACTGACGCTTCGGCCGCCGGGTCCTGGCCGCCCCACTCATCCCAGTAGGAAGAGTCTTGGAGACCTGCGGTTCGGGATGTCTGTGCTGGGTGTTTTGACCTCGGTCCCCCTGATCAGGTGCCGCGCGGGTGGGTAAAGGTGCGATATACCGAGCAGTGGACCAGAAAAAAGGAGGATGGTTGTCAGGCCCGACCAGGGTGTTTGATCTTAGTGCCTCAGTTTTCTCCTTTATAGAACGGGTAATTGACATATGTGTTGCTGGGCATATTTCTTCTGGAATAATGCCTTTTTATTGCAATATTTAATTTTCCTTTCACCTCATGATTCATTCTTCCTTTCAAGCAGTTTTCTTTTGTTTTTGTTAGCAAAAAAGTATGTTCTCCGGTTTTGCCTCAAAGAAGTTGTGTTTTTCCCCAAGTGAAATGAGAGAGTAATACCTTTCTTAGTGGATATATTCATTAAGCTTGACTTTTGACATTAAAAAATACTTATTTTTTACTCCGTTAATTTAAGGTGTGAATTTAAAACTTCAGTAATGGAGTTGGCCCACAGTTTATTGCTAAATGAAGAAGCTTTGGCTCAAATCACGGAAGCAAAAAGACCAGTTTTTATATTTGAATGGTTGCGATTTCTTGACAAAGTCTTGGTTGCTGCCAACAAGGTATGGTATTGCTTTTTTTTTCCCAGTTGCATTAACGTAAAGAGATTATATGTTCATGGTTCGTAAGAAAACACAGGTTATGTTTTGGAAGGTTTGTGGGTAACTTACGAAACTTGAGAATATTACGCTAATGGGAACTGCTAGTCTATTCTATTTAGTGGCAAAACTCAAGCTTCCTTTAAATGCAGCTCATTGCCTGTCTACTTTATGTCTCTACCTGGGTAGCTCATTGTAACTGAGAAAAACGTGACTATGTGATGTATCACTTTAAATTTATCATCACCAATTGCAAGTGTTCTCTCTGTGCTGCCTAACAATCCCAGTATCTTCACTTATCTCTCTGAGGAGTTAATAACAGACTTTCTTGTTTTCTTCCTGCATAACCTTGATTCAGCTTGCTTTTTATTGTCTGTGTCTTTTATATTTATGTCTTTAAATGTAGTTGCAGCCAGGCGTAGTAGTTCATGCCTGTAATGCCAGCTCTTTGGGAGGCTGAGGTGGGCGGATCACCTTAGGTCAGGAGTTCGAGACCAGCCTGGTCGACATAGTGAAACCTCGTCTCTACTAAAAATACAAAAATTAGCCAGGTGTGGTGGGTGGTGCCTGTAATACCAGCAACTTGGAGGGCTGTGGCAAGAGAATCGCTTGAACCTGGGAGATGGAAGTTGCAGGGAGCCTAGATAGTGCTGTTGCCCGCCAGCCTGGGCAACAATAGTGAAACTCCCTCCAAAAAAAAAAAAAGGCCAGGCATGGTGGCCTTTACCACACCTGTAATCCCAGCACTTTGGGAGGCTGAGGCAGGCAAATCACAAGGTCAAGAGATCTAGAACGTCCTGGCCAACATGGTGAAACCCCCTCTCTACTGAAAATACAAATACTAGCTGAGCGTGGTTGAGAAGGCCCATAGTCCCAGCTACTAAGAAGGCTGAGGTGAGAGAATTGCTTGAACCCAGGAGGTGGAGGTTGCAGTGAGCCAAAATTGTGCCACTGCACTCCAGCCTGGTGACAGAGCGAGATCCATCTCAAAAAAGTTAAAAAAAAAAATGTAGATGCTTTCCTCAAATGTCTGATGATCTTTGGCTGCCTGCTCAAATTTAAAAATGAGTAGTAAAAACTTTCTTCGGCAGAGCTAGTCTTTTAAACTGGACATCACTGTAGGCGGGGCTGGTTCCTGACCTTAGTATTTTAGCTTTCTGCAGGCTAGTCATTCCCCAGAAGATACTTTTCTGCTTTTGTGTCTGAAGAGTATATGGCTAGCTGCCTACATTCTCGGAATTGTGGCAGAAGACTGGGGGCTTTAACATTCAGTATGTGAACTTTCACTGCATCTCCCCATTTTCAGTGCTGTTTCCCCAGACCGCAACCGTGCCTGGGCTCTCCTAGTCCAGATATACAATATTTCACTCTTCCCAGAAAGTATGCTTTCAGTCTTCTTCCAGAATGGAGGAGAGGAGTCTGACTGTTTCTTAGACTCTCAACCATTCCCTCTATCTCAGGGTACAACTTCACTCCCACCTCCAAAGCACCTAGGGCCTAACAAAAACCCCATGATTTCTTAGGGGGTCCTGTGTTGTAAAGTAGGTAATTTCTCAGCTTTCCCTGTTGGAAACACTTGTTTTCCAAATATCGTGTTGATTCTTTTTCCTGTTTTTTTTTTTTTTTTTTTTTTTTAAACTCTTTGGATTTGTGCTTTGTTGTTGTTGTTGTTACCCTTTAGTATGGTTTTAATGGAGTTTCTATAGAAACAGTTAATGCATAGATTCACTCTTAATCTTTAACTAAAAGGTTCTGTTTTCTCTTAAATCCCCTGCAACTGGGCTTTTGTTACTTCCACTCCACTAAAACAGCTCTTGTCCAGCCATCACTGATTACAGATTACCCAAAACAGTGATCAGTATTCTGTCTTACTTGATCCATCTCCATCTTTCACCTTGAAACACTTTAAACATTTTTAATTTTGTTGCAAAATTGATAAATACAAGAGTATATAAAACATTTCTAAGTTACGAAGCATAATAATATAAATATCTGTACATCTCCACTCAAATTAAAAAATAAGATTGTTATTGCTTTGCACAGTTTCTGTGAAGTTTTCTTCCTGTTTGTGGCTTCCCAAGACACTGTTAGGTTTTAGTTCCTCTCCCACTTCACTAACTGCTACTTTTTTTTTTTTTAACTCTCCCTCAGTTCAGCGCATTTTAAAAAAATCTGTACATATTCCTTCAGTGATATCATCTCATTGTATGATTTTTACTATCATCTATATAATAATGATTCCCAGGATAATGTTTACTCCACCTCTTTCTTATCTAAGTGGCCTCCCAGAGTTAACATACCAAAACCAAATTCTTCATTTCTCCTCCCAAACCTGCTCTTTCTCCTGTGTTCTCTATCTCAGGAAATGACCATTTCATCCTCCTAGCTGCTCAGGGTGAAAACCATAGAGCCATTTTTGACTTCCCTCTTTTTCTCAAACTTCTCAATTTATTCACCTGCAAATCCTATGGTTTCATCCACAAATATATCCAGAGTTTATTTACTTATCATCTCCACAGTTACCACCATCATCTCTCATCTGGATTATTGCATCTGCTTCCTATTTGCTCATGATGCTTTCCATTTATGCACCTTATAGAGTATTCTTAGAAGTCAGAGTGACCCTGTTGAAACATTTAGATCACGACCCTCCTCTGCTTCAAACTCTTACTCAGAGTAACATACAAAGTTTTCTCTCTCTTACTCTGCTCCAGCCAAACTGGCCTTCTTGCTGTCTTCAAGGACGCTAAGCATGCTTCATCCTCAATGCCTTTTACACTTGTTCTTTTGGCCTGGAATGTTCTTCCCCTAGGTATCTGCATAGCTCACCCCTTCCCTTCTTTTCAGAGAGAGGCCTTTTCTAATTAATCCACATAAAATAGTAAGCACCCATACTATTCATTTGTTTGTTTGGTAAACTCTGTCCCTTCCCACCAGAATGTGAACTTCATGAGGGCAGGGACTTTTTTTGTCTATTTTGTTCTCTGTTGCACCTTACTACATGGCATACATGAAATACATAATAAATATTATTTGCATAAATGAATGAATTATAGGTATTGATTATGGGTAGAGCTGGGCATTCTTTTTTTCCTGTTGCCTAGGGCTCTTCAGAGTTTCTTTTGGTTTCATTTGCTGACCTAACTTTATGAACTACTGACTTTGCTTTTACATGGGAAACCTATCTGAGCTCTACAACATCAGTTATCCATACATCCAATATATCCAGTATTTTGCATCCTTCGATTGTTGGTTTATTTCTTAGTAAGTTAATCTTGTAACTTTTTGAATCAGTCTTCACTTTTATTAGACCTAACCTTTTAGCTTTGGAGGAGAATGAAGGAGAATATTTAATATAGGAAAAAAAATGGCTCTTTTTTTTTTTGAGATGGAGTTTTGCTCTGTCACCAGGCTGGAGTGCAGTGGCACAATCTTGGCTCACTGCAACCTTCACCTCCCGGGTTCAAGTGATTCTTCTGCCTCAGCCTCCCAAGTAGTTGGGACTACAGGCGTGCGCCACCACACCCAACTAATTTTTGTATTTTTAATAGAGACGGGGTTTCACATGTTGTCCAGGATGGTCTTGACCTCCTGACCTTGTGATCTGCCCGCCTCAGCCTCATAAAGTGCTGGGATTATAGGCATGAGCCACCATGCCCAGCTAAGAATGGCTCATTTCTTACTGAACTTTTCCTTATCTTTAAAATTCTCATGGTTTATGTTTAATGTAATATAGATTTTTAATTATTAGAGTGCCTTAAGTATTAAGTACTTTAATTCTGTTTAAAAGGTAACAAATATTTTTTTAATAATGTTCTTTTAAAAAATTTTTTGTAACAGACAGATGTAAAGGAAAAACAGAAAAAACTTGTCGAACAATTAACTGGATTA